CCAATCTGTAACTAACACTAGTCATGAGGGATGCTGGTTGCCTAGGAACATTGACCCATTTAAAATACTACACCTTATTGTTGCTGTTAATGAGACCCTCCCCAGGATAGTGGTAATATAGTAGAAAGTAAATCAAGCGGGCCACGACAATAACAGTTGTTTTGGGTCCTGTCACAAAGGAGATACAAGCCCCGGTGATCAATAATGCAGTTGTGTCTGTTGTGTCAGGATGCCTTTGGGATCTTTGGCATTCCCCCACTGAACCTGCCTGAGCATGTGTATACAGATAGGCCCAGATTCCTATGGAACATTATTCCCTTTTTATGCACTTTTCTGTCTACGCGTATTTTGACCTTGAACTTAAGCATGTGAACCCACTATTCGTTCAGGGTGGAGATCTAAGAAAGTAAGGGGTGGCAGAGGTGTGTCTACATATAAGCCGTATTCTGACCTTGACTTAATTCCCTGATAATACCAACGCTTTTACGCGCGAGGAAACCATGAATAAGGTCGAGAAACCTGCCGGTTCCAAGTGGGAAAAGCATCAACTTTATTTTTTCCGATAGAAATAACAGCATTCTCCATGCACTGTAATTTATAAATGGATAAGAGCTATTGATAAGAGCTAGGTAAATTAGTAATCCGTTTGGAGAAGGGGATTATAAATACACATAGCAATTACTTTAGATTATATTTCCTTACGATCCCTGGAGACGAATGTGAAACCAGCCATATGGAAGTAAATTGAAACTCATATCAACATGACATGTATTGCAGCCCCTTTTCCACAGGTGCCATTTTTCAGAATTGTAATTGTGTTCCCTCATAATTTACGTGGATGAAATTTGGACACCCAAACTATAGGCTTCTGTAGGGCTGGACTTGCAGAGTTAGTCTATGCGCTTTATAATTGTTTTTATTACAGCCTATGCCCGGGCTTTTCTCCATTTTATTTTAACATTTGTATCTGTATGTTAAATATTAGCCACTATCCGGAGCCACCATCAGTAATACCCACATACATTTATAACTGTCACTTTAGTGTTTTGTTTCTTCAATGTAGCTTACATTTAGCATCATTCCATTCCATTCTGTTTACCTTTTTTTCCTCTGTCACGTTCGTGTGGTTGTTCCTGAGGGTCGCTAGCATTAGTGGATCATATTAGGCTAAGGTTGTGCAATAATTTGGGACATGTAGCCTATTTGGATCATTATGGAAGTCAGACCACACGTAGCAGGTTAAACCTGGAGCCTGGCGTATGGTTCACGACGACTGGACCGTTGTCATACAGTTCTATGATTAGTGAGAATTAGGGTAGATTTATAGGACTATTGTTCAACCCCTATTGTACACTTTTTTCCACCTTCCAATATTTCATGGATGGAACTTGAATATGACAACTTTAAGGATGAATCAAACCACTGTATTTTTTATTCATCGATATATTTAGTGCGTAAAGGCTCTCCAAAACAGTTTTTTTTAATGATTCATACCTACTTTCCTAATCCTAAAATTTACCAAAATAATCTTCAAGATCAGAGTATTTTTAAATGTACCAGTTGGTGCTGAAACGAAGACGAATATGCATAGATGGCATTCTTTCATTGATCCCTATTTTCTGAACCCGTTCTCTCAATGTATTCTCGTCTGTAGACAAAATTCTAATTAAAGGTACACTGTATTTAAAGGGATGGCTTAAGATAATTGTACTGAAAACCACATGAGGTTGGAGGCACCTTAATTGGGGAGAACGGGCTCGTGTTAATGTCTGGAGCGGAATTGGTGGAATGGTATCAAATACATCAAACACATGGTTTCCAGAATTACATTTATTCAGCCACGCAAGGGAACCACGCCTGCAAAGCCCATTACGCACCTTCATAAGGTAAGTCTGAATACCAACTACTGAGAAGTGTATAGGAAAGCAATGAGTAAGAAAGGCCTAATTTCGTTAAGTCGGAATCTGGCCCATAGTGAATGTCTGTTTAGTGGAGGTGTTATTGGGAAAATATAATATACTTTATAAGACCTAGAGATGTTGTAGGAAACATTATTCCTGTTGGATAATATTAATTTTATTTTATATTATGTAATCAATTCACATTCTATTAAGATTAGCTGTTTTGAAGGTTGTGTATTGAGTTTATAGTGTGGATAAAGCATACAGTAACTGTATGAAGGAGTTCATTGTGTGGTTGTTATTTATTTAACTGTGGAAGGAATTGTTTGTTTCTGACCCACATTTAGACACGATGAGCAAACAGTAGACCTCCACTCCACGTTCCTCCGGTGAAGAGGCACAACATGGAAACAACAATTTCTTGTAACCAATAAACACAGCGGGTATTTCTAAAGTTTATGTTTATGTCTGTGTCCTACCTTCTCGACCTGACACTAAAAGTAACCATACACATCCTGCTGCAATGTTCAAGGTGTAGTCATCTCCCCTCAGAAGGAAAGAGACTGTCTGAAGTTAGGGGCCGGGGGGAGGAGGTAGGAAGCCATGACTACCGTGTGACAAGCGGTAGTTCCTTCCTCCCAGGCCTGAGAAACAGGAAGTGGAGCTCATAATGCATTATTGTGACGGACAGGAAATGCAGTGTCCTCTAAAATAAGATCCCTCTCTACCTGTCAATGACAGGTCCCTGCCCTCTATAGCCCTTTTAGACCTCTCTCCTACTGCACCCCTTTCTGTCTTCACGTTAGCAAGACACAGAGACTGGGGAGAGCATGACCATTACTGTAACAATATAGCCTACAAAACAACTAGAATGTGTGAGAGTGTTTAGTCATACCCTGCAAATCTACATCCCCATCATCAGGTATTATAGAAAATGATGGATAAACAATGGGAATGTTGAGTGTTTTATGACCAAAGGCAATGACAGACAGGTAATTTCAGGAACAGGAAGAGTGTGGCACACAATGGACTGGGCCATGTGATTTCTGCCAACCAAATACGGTACACTTCATATATACAGACTGCTGACACAGCCCAACAGGGAAGAGAGCCTTGAGTAACTCTTAGAGCACCCTCCTGCATTTACAGCCACTGTCAGTGTTTCAATGCTAAATTGATTGGAATTGTATTTTCAGTCACATTACTTGAAACAAGACTGTGATATTGTATATTCTGTATGATGTCTATGAGGATGTATTCTGTATATTGTTTATTGCTTGCTGGCAGCACTTTCTCACTAAGGCAAATTCTGGGTATGTGTAAATGTACTTGGCGAATAAAGGTGATTCTTATATCTAAAAGACGATCTAAAGGCCTAGGAGGCTAGGAGGTGAAGCATATGAGAAGGATCCAGGATCTATCCATCCAGTCCCTAGCAGAAGCTGAGGAGGAGCGGTTGCTAAGAGAGATGGGTCTTTGTGCTCTGCTCCCTCCTAGTTAATTAAAAGCCTACTTTATCTGTTTCATGCTTTCAATGAGGGGTCCTGGCACAGGCCCAAGCTGCTATATCTAGATAACCATGGAAATAAGATGTGATTAATGTGGGCCCCATTTGTACCGTGCGCCCTGCTGCTGTTTGAACACATTGTTTTGTCTTAATATCCTGTTTTGTTCCAAACCTCTGAAAATTTATTCAAAGAGGCTGTTTGTGGAACATCTGTGTAATATCCTCATTGCAGGATCCTTATTCAGGAAACCGATAGTAGATTGATAAGACAAGGCTTTGTTTTGCTGTGTAAAACATGGCAGGTGTTGGGTACTTGTGATCATTACCATCTGAACTTCTTGAGTGATTAGTGCTGCAGACAGGCAATATCAATTTAATAATGTCAACGTCCTGCATTCATTCCTTGCCAACTCTAATTGTTTTCCAGTCATCTGTAATCAAAGGAACCTTCCAGAAACAATGTTTTTCCTAAATTAACAGCAAATCCATCAATGCTTTCCTCTGCTTTCAGCCTCAATTAATAGCAGCCAAGAAGCCAGGTTTTTAGGCAATGAATCATCATAAGCTAAATGCATTTAGCTATTGGGTGTTTTGTTCTAACATGTTCTAACACAACTTCCCATTTGACTTTTGAGGAGAAAAAAGTGTCAATAGCACAATGAGAATTAGTTTTATTTCCACAATTAACTGATCATGAGGTTTCCTTTGACGAAACATTTAAAATGATAATTCTGCCAGTGCTGAATACATTGTCTTCCTAGAAGGCTGGTATGCATTGATGGGTCTAGTACCACTGCATATAGTCTTATCAAAGAAATTAGTTGGACATTATCGGGCTGTAACCCAGCAGAATATCACTGTACGCTGAGGACCTCATTACCAAGTGAAATGACTTTGAAATGACTGCACTTGACAGATTCAGAATGTACCATTACTCACGCAAATCAGGCCAGAAAGAGAGAAAGACAGAATCACAATAAGCAGAGTACTGAACTGGTGTTTCATTTACATTTGTAACAAGTCTTGAACAGCAATTTGAATAAACAAAAAAATACAAACTCAAATGAACCACTGCACACAAGATAAACTAAATACCATGATACAGAATTATCAAAATATCACTCATCCAATTTTAATTTTATGTGAATCTACTGTTGTTTTTCCATTTGAAATAGAAAACCATTTAACTGAAACACTGTTGTTGATACAATTTAAATTGCAAACAAAATCGACACTGCCATCTAGTGGTCTTTGTAGGATAAACAATTACAAAAGTAATTTCATTTACATTTACATTTTACATTTTAGTCATTTAGCAGACGCTCCTATCCAGAGCGACTTACAGTTAGTGAGTGCATACATTTTTACATACATCATAATCACAGGTGGTCCTCTTAAGTCTTTCTAAAGGAACTGAAGGAGAGACAGAGGAGAGGTGAGACCTTGGGGTTTCTGGATGAAGAGGCCTCTCCCTGCACCAGGGATGTTTTCAGGCCTGGCAGGAGGAGGGGCAGCATGCTGGCCTGCTGGGGAACAGCTCGCTGTACTGTACTGGGGAACAGCTCGCTGTACTGAGTCTTGGGCCTGGGTCTTCAGGACCCTGGGGCTCTCCTTGGGGACCTGGGCCGCTGGTATCGGGAGAGCCAGGCCTCTTCCCAGGGAGAGGAAGGCAAGTAGGGAAGGCAAGGGAAGACAGGGAGGGTTGGTGGTGCTGGGTCTTTCATCAGAGACCTCCCTCTGCCTGCCATTGTGTCCACCACTATCTCCATGAGTCCTGATGCTCCTGATCCTGATGGAGCCGCTGGGCTGACGACTCCAGAGGGCTGTTTCCTGGAGCTCTGCTGGACCTCTGGGGTCAGGGCACTGGGCATAGCATGGAGGTCAGATGCCCACGGGGTATTGCTGGGACGGGGGGTCTCTGCTCGGGCCTGCAGCCCTGCTGTGGGGACAGGGGGGTCAGGTTGTCTTTGGGTGTCTGTGTTCTGGCCCTGCCCATCCTGTGATGGGGGTAGGGGTCTGGGGTTGGAGCGCTCCAGCAGGCCCTGCTCTATGACAGGGTGATGGTCGATGGCCCACTCCTGCCGCATGTGCTCCAACTCCTGCAGCTCCCTAGGCAGCTCCAGAACACTGCTCTGTAGACAGATACACACAGCAGTACATAAGCTTCTATATCATCTCAACACACTGGGACATTTATATCTCAGATAATTACTGTCATTGAGATCTATTCACTAAATATTCTCTACTATTACAATGTTTTCCGTCAACATTGCCATTTGTCATATGTACAGTAATGAGTAAGTGACTCTGGATGTTTGAGGATGTAAGTACTTTATTTATCTGGGTGGTTGTGTGTTGGGTCATGTGTGTGTAGCTCATTTGCTCACAGAGCCAATGTTCTGCATGTGGACAGGTTCCTCACGGCTGCAGCTAAGGTAGGAGTCCACCAGGCCTGTGTAGTCAGCCATGAGGGCATACAGCAGCACCAGCCTCAGAGGCTGCAGATGGATCACCGACAGGGCCATGACCTTCAGCAGGGACGCAGAGCAGGGACACACGTACCACACCTCTTTGTCCTCCTACAGGTATAGTACAGACACACACAGTAACAAGTCTTGAAATGCAGATACACACACAGACACACACAGACCACATCCATACTGTTGTGCTATGTTCCCTGCTTTAGGGTTATGTACCTTGGTGAGCAGACACTTGATCTTGAGAGAGGAGAGTCATGATGAGGGCATCTTCAGATGTAGGATCACCACTTCCTGTAGAGTACTGACCCTGTCTGGCAGGAAGCCACCTGTCTCTCTGCAGAAGCACAGGATATCTGCCAACTATGGAGAAATAACCCAAACACATCACAGTGATAAGGCTGGGAGGGTAATACTTGGTATGATGCCTACAGGGCAGTAAGAATCCATTCATAGAACGACAACAAAGCTTCGGCTGCACACTCTAGGATCATACATTTTCTACAGTACACTACCTGCGTGTCAAAGACGTTTGTGAGATTTACTCCAAACTGAGCCATCAGACATCTGGCAATCCTCCGGCAGTCATGGGTGACCTGAATAAGATACATACACCGACAGAGGTGAAATTACATGAGGTAGAAGTAAAATGGATTAATATAATAATCTCCTGTCTACATTACTCACCTTTAATATGTGGTTATTTTCCAGGATCATGGACAGGCTGTTCTTGAAGGCCCGGGCTCCAAGCAACAGGATGTCAAAGAGGTACACCTTGTTCTTAGTGGCAATCTACAAAGGAGATTGGATATAGTTCAGCAGTTCAAATTTCCATTCATGAAAAGTAATAGATAATGAAAAATAGAAAATGATGAACATATTCATATCAAAAAGCCTAGGTAGTATTACTTAGAGCTCTGTATCTCTTTCCTCACCTGCAGCCAACAGAGTCTCTCATGCAGGAACGTCCCGTCCCCGTCAGCTCCTATCCCGATCACCTGCTGCTTCCGGATGTGCATCACCTATTGTGGAGATAGCATGACCAAGCAAGGTACTAGAGATCACTCCATACACCCACAGGACAGGACACAGGGCACACACCTCCTTAGACTCATTACAGCTTCATTTTCGTCAGAGATGTTATCCACGTCTGTATGCCAATAGGCTATGTAATGGGAACCGTACACACAGGGGGCGAAGTGAAATGAAACCCTAATTGTGAGGGTTAGGTACTCACAGCAGGACTACATTTCTCATGGAACTCATCAATGACCACAAAGTTGACATGGCTCTCATCAATTTCATCATCTGAGGAAGGGAGACATCTATTTGTTGAGCTACATACATAGATCATATAGCTAGCTACCTAATGAAAAAAGCTAATGATGCAAACCTATGGCTTCAATTAGCTAAATGTGTACAATAGAGTATAAAACATGAGGTCAACTAACTCAGTATGAGACTCTTCCTGTAAGGCTGAAACTCTGCCACAGTCAGGTGACCTTCAGGTCTGTGGTCACTAGAGTTATCTGTGCCACAGATTGAATACAGGGTCAGTTTCTTGCATTATTGCATGCAATACTAATGAGACATTAATTTATACGTGAGCAAAGTCAACTATTGTAAAACATAATTTATACGTGAGCAAAGTGTCAGAACGCTGAGTGTGGATGTGGTGCAGGGAATCAAGCACAGGAACAAGGGTGTTCGTCAACAGACTTTAGCAATCCAAAATAGTAACTCCAAACAGGTGAATAGCCAACCCAACCGGGAGGCATGAACAAATTACGCACACACACAACAGTGCGTAAAAACAAGAAAAGGCGCACGCAGTGCGGACTCTCGACACAAACAACACGAGAGAGAAAACCCATCAACAGCAACAGCTGACATAACAATCACACATAACACCTGACCCAACACACGATAACTAAATAGGAAACAAAATCAAACACTAACAAGGGACAGGTGTACAAACAGACAAAACCAAACAAACATGAAACATCGAACGGTGGTAGCTAGTACTCCGGGGACGACGACCGCCGAAGCCTGCCCGAACAAGGAGGAGGAGCAGCCTCGGCCGAAACCGTGACACAAAGTCAAAAGATGGACACTTACAAAGAATGATTCCATGGTCAGTGTTGGAAAAAGTACTCAATTGTCGTACTTGAGTGTCACAGTTTCGGCCGAGGCTGCTCCTCCTCCTTGTTCGGGCAGGCTTCGGCGGTCGTCGTCCCCGGAGTACTAGCTGCCACCGTTGTATGTTTCGATGGTTGTTTGGTTTTGTCTTATTGGTACACCTGTTTCTGTTTTGTGCTTATTATGTGTCCTATAAGTTCTCGTTGTTTGAGTCTTGTGTTGAGTGTAATTGTTCACCGGTCAGAGGTGCAGTGTTTGTTTCCTCCATTGGAGAGGAGAGAGTTTCCGCACTTGTTGTGCGCGCTATTTTGGCGAGTAGAGTTTTACGCGTTGTGTGCGTAATTTTCGTGTTTGCCTTCCGGGCTCTTGTTGAGGCCCGTTTGTTTTTTTGTGTATTTACTAAAGCCTGTTGGACGAAGCCTCTGTTTCCTGCGCCTGATTCTTGCACCACATCCACATTTCACACTGACAGAATTACACACCATTATCGATGGAATCAGCAGGAGCAGCAGCAGCACCCGAGTCGTTCGAGGAGCGCGTCCGCGGACAGGACGACCGGATAAACCAACTCGGGACCGCCCTGCAGGGAGTAATAAATACTCTACACCGATGGGAGACCAGTGGGATACCCACACCTCCACCTACCTCACCCCCACCATCGGCCAGTCCGCCTGTCCAGGCTCCAGAACCCAGTGGGATTCGGCTCTCGCTCCCGAGGGCGTATGATGGTACCGCTGCCGGGTGTCAGGGTTTCCTCTTACAGGTAGAACTCTACCTAGCCACTGTACACCCGGCGCCCTCGGGACACGAGAGCGTTTCCGCCCTCATCTCCTGTCTCACCGGCAAGGCGTTGGAGTGGGCCAACGCCGAGTGGAAGGGGATAGACGCCGCAACGATCACCTACGCGGAGTTCTCCCGCCGCTTCAGGGCTGTGTTCGACCATCCACCTGAGGGGAAAGCGGCGGGGGAGCGTCTATTCTACCTCCGGCAGGGGAAGAGGAGCGCCCAGGAGTTTGCCTTGGAGTTCCGGACTCTAGCGGCAGATGCAGGGTGGAATGAGCGGGCCCTCATTGACCACTTTCGGTGCAGCCTACGGGAGGACGTCCGCCGTGAGCTGGCTTGCAGGGACACCAACCTCTCGTTTGACCAGTTGGTGGACATGGCCATACGCCTCGACACCCTGCTGGCCACCCGCGGACGTCCCGAGTGGGGGCCGTCCATTCCACCCTCCAGCGCCTCCGAGCCGAGTCCTATGGAGCTCGGAGGTGCTGGCGCTAGAGAAAGGAGGAGAAGGAGTCCAAGGGGGGCCGTCCCCTGCACCAACTGTGGCCGTGGAGGACACACTGCGGCTAGGTGCTGGGGAGGGTCTCCAGGGGGAAGAGACAACAGGCCACGCACTGGGGAGTCATTCCAGGTGAGTAGGTGCCCCACTTACCCAGAGCTCTCTGTTGTGCACCTAACTATACCTGTCAGTTTTCCACAGGTTGCACCTCGGTCCCAGCATAAGGCGCTAGTAGATTCAGGCGCAGCTGGGAACTTTGTTGATCGGAAGTTTTGTGTAGAGTTAGGGATTCCTCTCCTTCCTGTCAATGCTCCCTTCCCTGTACATGCTCTAGATAGCCGCCCGTTGGGATCGGGGTTGATTAGGGAGGTCACGGCGCCACTTAGGATGAAGACGCAGGGGGGTCATGAGGAGACTATTCAGCTATATCTGATCGACTCTCCTGCGTATCCGGTGGTGCTGGGGCTTCCCTGGTTGATTACCCATAATCCCTCTATTTCGTGGCAACAGAGGGCTCTTAAGGAGTGGTCTGCCCAGTGTATGGGGCGATGTCTGGGTGTTTCCGTGGGAGCGACCTCGGTGGAGAGTCCAAACCAAGTGCCCGCAATGCACGTTCCCCCTGAGTATGAGGATTTAGCACTCGTGTTTAGCAAGGCGAGGGCGGCGCGATTGCCACCTCATAGACAGGAGGATTGTGCGATAGACCTCCAGGCAGGAGCTGCGCTTCCATGGAGCCATGTGTATCCTTTGTCTCAAGAGGAGAAGAGGGCTATGGAGACATACATAGCCGAGTCTCTGAGACAGGGATACATACGGCCCTCCACTTCCCCTGCGTCCTCGAGCTTCTTTTTTGTGAAGAAAAAAGATGGAGGTTTGCGCCCGTGTATTGATTACCGTGGTCTCAATCAGATTACTGTGAAATAAAGTAATCCACTCCCTCTGATTGCGACTATGACGGAGTCATTACACGGAGCGCGGTTCTTCACAAAATTGGACCTCAGGAGCGCCTACAACTTGGTGCGCATTAGGGAGGGCGATGAATGGAAGACAGCATTTAGTACCACCTCGGGTCATTACGAGTATCTCGTCATGCCATACGGGTTAATGAATGCTCCTTCAGTCTTCCAATCCTTTGTGGATGAGATTTTCCGGGACATGCAGGGGCAAGGAGTGGTCGTGTACATAGACGATATTCTGGTGTACACTTCTACCCGAGCCGAGCATGTAGCCCTGGTGCGCCGAGTGTTGAGGAGGCTGTTGGAGCACGACCTGTATGTCAAGGCAGAGAAATGTCTGTTCTTCCAGGAGTCTGTCTCCTTTTTGGGTTATCAGTTGTCCGCGTCAGGGGTGAAGATGGAGGTTGACCGTGTGTCAGCCGTGCGTAATTGGCAAACCCCAACCACGGTTAAAGAGGTGCAGCAGTTCTTGGGCTTTGCGAATTACTACCGGAGGTTTATCCGGGGTTTTGGACAGGTGGCAGCTCCCATAACGTCCCTTCTGAAGGGGGGGTCCGGTGCGCTTGCAGTGGTCAGCTGAGGAGGACAGGGCTTTTGGGAAACTGAAGGACCTGTTTACTTCGGCTCCGGTGCTGGCGCATCCGGATCCCGCTTTACCATTCCAGGTGGAGGTGGACGCGTCAGAAGCCGGTATAGGGGCCGTTCTATCGCAACGGTCCGGCACGCCACCTAAACTCCGCCCCTGTGCTTTTTACACTAAGAAGCTCAGCCTGGCGGAGCGAAATTATGACGTGGGGGACAGGGAGCTGTTAGCCGTGGTACAGGCCCTAAAGGTGTGGAGGCATTGGCTTGAGGGGGCTCAACACCCTTTCCTCATTTTGACTGACCACCGTAACCTGGAATACATTCGGGCAGCTAGGAGACTGAATCCTCGCCAGGCTCGGTGGACCATGTTTCTAGCCCGGTTCATATTTAAGATCACGTACATCCCTGGGTCCCAGAACGGAAAGGCAGACGCCCTGTCTCGGCGGTATGACACAGAGGAGAGGTCCGTTGAGCCCACTCCCATACTACCGAGGTCTTGTCTGGTGGCACCGGTGGTGTGGGAGGTCGATGCTGAAATCGAGCGGGCGTTGCGTACCGACCCTAGCCCTCCACAGTGTCCTGTGGGTCGGACGTACGTTCCGCTTGAGGTTCGGGATCGACTTATTTATTGGGCTCACACGTCACCCTCCTCTGGGCATCCAGGGATTGGCCGGACAGTGCACTGCCTTAGCACGAAGTACTGGTGGCCAACGTTAGCCAGGGATGTGAGGGTTTATGTCTCCTCCTGAAAGTTACAACCCCTGCCCATTCCACAACGACCCTGGTCTCACCTCTCGGTGGACTTTGTTACAGACCTTCCCCCCTCACAGGGGAATACCACCATCCTGGTCGTTGTGGATCGCTTCTCGAAGGCCTGTCGTCTCCTTCCCATGCCGGGTCTCCCTACTGCCCTACAGACCGCTGAGGCACTATTCACCCACGTCTTCCGGCATTACGGGGTACCCGAGGATATAGTGTCTGATCGAAGTCCCCAGTTTACCTCCCGAGTCTGGAGAGCGTTCATGGAGCGTTTGGGGGTCTCGTGAGCCTTACCTCGGGGTACCACTCGGAGAGCAATGGGCAGGTCGAACGTGTCAACCAGGATGTGGGTAGGTTTCTGAGGTCGTATTGCCAGGGCCGGCCGGAGGAGTGGGCGAGGTATGTCCCCTGGGCAGAGATGGCACAGAACTCTCTCCGCCACTCCTCCACCAACCTAACCCCTTTCCAATGTGTGTTAGGTTACCAGCCGGTTCTGGCACCATGGCATCAGAGCCAGATTGAGGCCCCTGAGGTGGATGAGTGGGTGCGGCGCTCGGAGGAGACGTGGGACGCTGCACACGTCCATCTGCAGCGGGCCATCCGTCGACACAAGGCGAGCGCCGATCTCCACCGCAGTGAGGGGCCGGTGTACGCACCTGTAGATCGAGTCTGGCTCTCGACCAGAAACCTACCCCTCCGCCTGCCCTGCCGGAAGCTGGGTCGGCGGTTTGTGGGGCCTTTTAAAGTCCTGAGGAGGTTGAACGAGGTGTGTTACAGGTTACAACTGCCTATTGATTATCATGTTAACCCCTCGTTCTATGTGTCTCTTCTCAGGCCGGTGGTAGCTGGTCCACTCCAGGACTGTGAGATAGGAGAGACTCCTCCGCCCCCACTGGACATCGAGGGGGCTCCGGCGTACACTGTTCGGTCCATCTTGGATTCGAGACGTCGGATGGGGGGTCTCCAATATCTCGTGGAGTGGGAGGGGTACGGTCCGGAGGAACGGTGCTGGGTGCCGAGGAGGGACATTTTAGACCTGTCTCTTCTGACTGAGTTCCACCGTGGTCACCCCACGCGCCCTGCTCCGCGTCCTCCTGGAGCCGCGCGTCAAGGGGGGGTTACTGTCACGGTTTCGGCCGAGGCTGCTCCTCCTCCTTGTTCGGGCAGGCTTCGGCGGTCGTCGTCCCCGGAGTACTAGCTGCCACCGTTGTATGTTTTCGATGGTTGTTTGGTTTTGTCTTATTGGTACACCTGTTTCTGTTTTGTGCTTATTATGTGTCCTATAAGTTCTCGTTGTTTGAGTCTTGTGTTGTGTGTAATTGTTCACCGGTCAGAGGTGCAGTGTTTGTTTCCTCCATTGGAGAGGAGAGAGTTTCCGCACTTGTTGTGCGCGCTATTTTGGCGAGTAGAGTTTTACGCGTTGTGTGCGTAATTTTCGTGTTTGCCTTCCGGGCTCTTGTTGAGGCCCGTTTGTTTTTTTGTGTATTTACTAAAGCCTGTTGGACGAAGCCTCTGTTTCCTGCGCCTGATTCTTGCACCACATCCACATTTCACACTGACAGAATTACACACCATTATCGATGGAATCAGCAGGAGCAGCAGCAGCACCCGAGTCGTTCGAGGAGCGCGTCCGCGGACAGGACGACCGGATAAACCAACTCGGGACCGCCCTGCAGGGAGTAATAAATACTCTACACCGATTAATTGTTACATTCAAAATGTAACAATTACTTTTGGGTGTCAGGGACAATGTATGGGGTATAAAGTACATTGCTTTCTTTAGGAATGTAGTGAAGTAAAAGTTGTAAAAAATATAAATAGTAAAGTAAAGTGCAGATACCCCAAAAAACTACTTAAGTAGTACTTTAAAGTATTTTTACTTAAGTACTTTACACCACTGTCCATAGTTATCATTATGGGTGAAAGATCAACTAATGTTATGTCAATATCGGACATACTAGCTACTTACTCACGGTCAGTCTTTGTTACATTTGGGAATTTCACTGAAAAACTAGTAGTTACATAGCAGATGACCAGAGATTATTATATTCAATTTGAATAGCTAGCTAGTAATAATGACAGAAATAAAGTGCATGTTTCCATGATTTAGGCCACCTACCATTCAGAATTTCATGTCCAGAAAATAGTTTAATTCCTTCCATTCTTGACATCCACAACTGAAACAGATTAGACTCATACATTGCAGATTACAAATGTTATGCAATACACACTGGCAGCACAGGGCAGTAACTGGCACACGTGAACAGCTTGCCAGGATGCAGGGTTATCACTACTTACCGCAGCCACAAAGTCAAAATTGGCTATATCGTTTTTTGGTCTTAATTTAAGGTTAGGCATAAGGTTAGCAGTGTGGTTAAGGTTGGGGTTAAGGTTAGGTTTAAAATCACATTATAAGAAGATACATGTTTGAAATAGGCGGAGTTTATGACTTTGTGTCTGTGGTAACTATTGACGACCAGGCTGCAGCTTCTGCTGGCTACAGTAGCTACTGTAGTTAGCTTGCTACTAGTAGCCAACTAGCTGGCAAGTTAGCTGAGCTGATCGTGATCAGCTACCGTGCAGATTTTTCAGCAAAAATATGAGCATGTGAAACACTGAACAACAACTATTTTCAAGATAATGTAAGTCAGTGCACTCATTTTTTCTTAACTTCCTCTAAAATCACCGTTTTATTGGCATTGATCTGCTGAACAATACAAAGGGAAGTCGCAGTCTTGAGGGTCAATGTGATGTGCTTGAAGCTGTCCATAAATTGGAAGTCGTCCATGGTCATCTTGCTAAACAAGAGTTGTAATGCTTGTTGTTGCAATATATCAAGCAAAGTTGAAGCTAACAACCTAACTAGTAATGACAGCTAATACATTTATGTTGATACTTACCAGCACTAGCTGCAGTGACCAAAGCAACGAAACAAGGTGCGCGAAATGATCTACGTCATAATGATTGACGGCCAGGGGGTGGAGCGTAGGAGGTTGGAGGGGACAGACGTCATCATCATGACCTTGCATGATGCTTGAGAAAAATCTTTATTGTCACTACATTGTATGCAAATAAAGAAGACTGTACATTTAGAATTAAGATTGCACTCTATGCTAAATTGCTGCAGGCAGACAGACAAGTTCCTCAATTGGAGAGTTATCTGGTAAGCAGCCTTAAATATAATATAATGAGTGTCAGATACTCTTTCCTATTTTTCCACAGCAGTAAGTTACTGTCTTGCAACAGTAGTACAGATTTCCTTACAATGTATCACACGTTAAACCACAGTCAAATCGAATCTACTTCAAACATCACAAAGGTATTGTGGGGTTACATAATGCACAGAGGGAAATATTATAGCTGGAAGTTATTCACTTTCATAGCCTAACCAGTCTGTGTGAAGACTTCAACTCACGTTGGGAGAGTTCATAAAATAGAACAGTTAATTTAGAAGTTAGGAAAGTATCACATTTTTATGACTGTTTTATGTGTTTCTTGAATCTTGATGATCTGGAGAAGACATCAGATGTGGAGAACATGCTGTTAGGTTTGAGTTATGCTTTTATATTTTAGGTTAGAGCTATCTGCTGACATGTCACAGATTTATTTTATAGATGGAACATACTCAGTAGAATTTAGAATGAATTCTATCTTACAATAAAAATAATACGAGTTTTTTTTTTGTAATTTAGCAGACGCTCTTATCCAGAGCGACTTACAGTTAGTGAATGTATACATTATTATTATTTTATTTTTTTCATACTGTCGTCCCGTGGGAATCGAACCCACAACACATGCTCTACCAACTGAGCTACATCCTATTCCCTCCCCTACCCTGGACGACGCTGGGCCGATTGTGCGCTGCCCGGTCGCGGCCGGCTACGACAGAGCCTGGATTCGAACCAGGATCTCTAGACCACTGCGCCACTCGGGAGAGTTTCATAAACTTTCCTGGGAAGTTTCTCCTACCGTATGTAATGTTTCTCTGTCCTGGTAAATAATTAAGTGGGTGCTGACTTCAACCACATGGGGACAGACTTGAGACATTTTGGGCCTTTGTTCAATCCCTCAATTATATTAGAGAAGGTAGCCCTGTGAGAAAAGTAAACAGTGAATCTAATCCATTGTCAAAAGTCAGAGAGCATATGGTTGAATGATGTTCTCAGTCATAAAAAAAACTGATTTGAAGGAAGTGCAAGCCCTACAGTGTTTGCAATTATACTAGATAACAACCGTTAGTCCATCTTGCCTAGTGCAGAAAGACAAGGGAGTATAGTATTTCCATCCATATCAGCCTGGTAGAACCCATATCACACAGTTAAGGGTAGAAGGGGGAAAGAAGTATCTGAGTAATGGGAGTAGGCCAGGGGAGTGCACACAGATAACAGGAGTTTCTGAGTTGTAGGAGTTTTTTAAATATATTTTTTTATCACAGTCTACAGTATGACCACACAATACTATGACTAGTGCTTGTGTCAACATCAGGACTGGGTTGTGTCATGTTTGACGGCTTCTCCAGAACCTACTCAATCAATGTCTCCATGAAGATCAAAATAAAACGTATTGGATAACAAATAACCCATGCATAGTTAGGTCTATAGTAGATGCAGACCAGGGTTCAAATACATGTGTATTTGATTATTTGTTATTTAAATACTTACTTTCTGTGTATTTGAGTATTTTCAAATAATATGTCCAGAATCAACTACTTCTGTTGTAAGTATTTGAAATTATTTTCAAAAACGTTCCTATAAAAAGCCTACTATTTAAAATATACTTATTTCCAAATACAATGTTTCAAATACCAAACAGACCTGGGTTCAAATGCATGACAGTATTGAATATTTTCATATACAGTGCATGCCAATACTTTCTAAGTGTATTTCCAAATACATTCCAATATTCAACTACTTGTGTTTTTAAATAGAAAACTATCCAAATGCTTAGGCTACTTCCCAATGTCTTTGAACGCAATTACCAACACCCCACATATCTTTAAGATATATTTTTTTTCTCTCCCTCATGAGGTGGGAGGATAATACAAGTTCAGAAAAGTAACAAATAAAGGTAGACCTACCAATTAGTTATAGTGTTTTTACTGATATCTATTTGGTTTATGAATTATGAAGTGATTAAAACTCAAAATTCTGTTACCAAATCTGTAAATAAAAATCAGTAATGGAAATATGCAAAGGAAGATATTGCATATTTAATTAATTATAATCCACATAATAATTCATATTTCCTGTTGCTGCAGGATTCTTTTCCTACTGTAGCAAACTGGCTCAAATTAAGATCCTGTTTTCTTCCTCTTGCAGTCCTCTGGTGGTCAAAGCAAGTGTGAAAACAGTCTAGACAACCCCTCCCTCTCTCTCTCCCTCTCGCTCTTCTTACCCACTGAGCACCGCCCGACACTGGATGTCCATGGAAGTTGAAAAGTAGTTGAAATTTGGCCAGTCCGCCCTGGCCTTGATTTCAACTTCCACAAACATTGTTTTTTTTGGTCCAGTCCGGAACGGACCAAATCTGAACCAATCATAGACGTCTATGTTTCACAAGTTTGGACAGCACAGTAGAGCACAGTACAGTAAAGTAAAGTAAAACCATTTTTTTGTGGAGTTCAGTACAGTACACTCCTGTACTGTACAGTAGAGTAGACTAGAGTAGAGTTCAGTACAGTACAGTAGAGCACACTAGAGTTACAATATACTGTATTGTACTGTACTGATCTGTACTCTACTGTACTGTACTGTACTGAACTATACGCTACTCTTCTGTTATGTGCTTTACTGTACTGTACTGTACTCTACTGTGCTCTACTGTGCTGTACTTTGATGTCCAAACTTGTGAAACATTAACCTAACGTAACAGGCGTAAAAGAAACGCCTGAAACTAGGTTTTGACGAGAGAAGAAAAACGGTCAGGGGAGGTTCTCTTCAGCACTGTTCAACCAATCCAGTAAATGTGGAGAAGGAGTTAAGATGGGGTGTCGCCTTGTTAACGTCCAAACGCGGAAGTCGTGTCACAGGCTCTATGTCCATTTCCCCTGAAAACCGGAACATCCGGTTGTTGGGGGCTCAGCAGCGGATTGTGAAACATACAGTAGACGTCTATGATTGGTTCAGATTTGGTCCAACCAAATTTGGTCATGTTTGGGGGCAGAGCTCATTAAAATAATAGCCAGTGTGTAGAATAATGCCCAAATATGCAAAGGAGGATGTTGCTTATTTCTACATTTGTGTACCTATTCAGGCTATCAGGGACCCATTATGTAATTTCGTTAACGTAATTCTGTTACCGGGTGTAAAGCCATTTCACTTACTGTAGTTCAATAACCAAAAGAGATTATACCATTTTTTAAGTCAAGGTGTCATGTCATAGCTGACACCCCATTCTTTCTGCAGACATCTTTGAATCTTAATATTTTGGAGTTTTTGGAAAACGTGGTCACATAAATCTGCATCTGCACAGTTCTTCCAGTAAATGTGTTTTTGCTACATTTTCTGTGTAAATTGTTAAAAGTAGTCCTTGTACATAGAGTTGTATGGTTTGCTAAACTTTGAAATCAATGGTTTTTGTTTGCATTCATTTTAAAATGAAAAATCTGAGTCTCAGCATAATTCCAATACCATGTTGCTGTTGGGAGTAGTGAACTACATGTAGTTCAACTAGTAATTGAACTACATTTTGCAGTAGCTTGGTGGTAGTTGAACTAAATTAAAATCTTGGTAGTGTTTTCAGTAATTAGTTATTTTTTTGCCATGTAGCGGTGAAGCTAACTACTGGAACTACACACTACTTTTTTGCACAAAAAAAAAGAAAATACTGGTGAAGTTGGCAAGAATTTCCTTTCTTTTTCGACATGCCTTATTCTCACTTGAAACATAGTTGTTGTGTTTAGTAGGCCAAATTACACATTCTGGTAGCATCTGACTCAAGAGTGATATGTTCTTGCAATTTCTATTCTATGACATTTCAGATTTAGATATGATAATTTTTCACGAAACAGTTGAGATGTAGTGACTTACTCTTTCAAAGTAACTTTAGTTAAGTAAACTATATTTTTCTTAAGTGTAGCTTTAGTGTAGCTTAAAGGGCCAATCATGGACAGGGCTGGGGAAATGTAACCACTCTCAAATTCGTAGACAGAGCTATGGATGCAAGGACTGACCATCCATGAAACTGACAATCGATGAAATCCAAGAAATGTAACCATGTTTTGAGGCTTTATAGTGTTTGTTTGCATTTACTTTGTTTACAAACATTAGAGTAAAACAAGGTTATATTTGGGGTTCTGTTGGGGTATGACAGTTGAAATACGCACATGAGGCATTTATAAGTTATATTAATCAATAATGAATGGGTACATATCATACATTTATAAGTCCAAAAATGAATGTAGAAACTGGGCATTTCCATGTAAAAAGGCCCCATAAGCACTAACATGAAGTTCATATGAGTCCATCAAATTTGGCTTCAAATGAAAGCTAAGAGTCTATATTTTGGAGAAATTAAGGCATATATAAATGTTTGTACCATTTTCCATCCTAAAAAATAAGAATTAGCAAAGGCTTTTTTTTTTATTATTTCTGGTCAAACAGATGGAAAAGGGGCCTTAGAAAAACATCTAGCAAAAAAAGTCTTAAAAGGTATTAGAAATGCAAACAGAATAATGTTGAAGTGAAGACCCCTGCCAACTAATATCAACATTTATAATTAGTTTAACAGTTTATATATCCCCCTGGCGTGATTCATCACTCCAGAGAACGCGTTTCCACCGCTCCAGAGTCCAATGGCGGCGAGCTTTACACTACACCAGCCGACGCTTGGCATTGCGCATTGTGATCGGCTTGTGTGTGGTTGCTTGGCCATGGAAACCCATTTCATGAAGCTTCCGACGAACAGTTATTGTGCTGACGTTGCTTCCAGAGGCAGTTTGAACACCATAGTGAGTGTTGCAACCGAGGACAGACGATGTTTACGCACTATGCGCTTCAGCACTTCAGATGTTTCCACTTCACAATAACAGCACTTACAGTTGACCGGGGCAATTCTAGCATGGCTGTGTGCTCGATTTTATAGATCTGTCAGCAACGGGTGTGGCTGAAATAGCAGAATCCACTCATTTGAAGGGGTGTCCACATACTTTTGTATATATAGTGTAGCTCTTATGGGAATTCAACAAGCTCACAGAAACATCTTCATAGGGGTCTAACATCTACTGTATAGTAGAGAGCTCTGACAGAGAGGAAGGCCCCACCTTTCCTGTTCTGCAGGCACAGCAAAACACCAATACATGGAGCTGTTGTCATGGTGGCAGTGTAATTCCAGGGTGCCTGAAGCCACTAGTCATGGGATGATGGGCATACAGCATAGGGGCACTGTGAATCAACCTGCCAACTGAAACCAGACTGACACAAATGTATTGCTGGAATCCATTTAGTTATTGCACACTTAAATGTGATAAAATGGATTTAAAAGTCTCAATTATATACATATGTGGTCTTAATTATCTATGTAACAACAGATATCACATTTTCTGATATTTAATTGGGATATCAGAAAATTGCAATTTAATCGTGACTCATGCTTTAATGACAAATCACTATACAATGGCAATATGCTAATAAAGAAATAGGTTAGGCGGCCTACTCATTCTATTCATTTGAGCTATCATGTGTCCCTATGCATAAATTACAGAGCAGTGACATTGGGCGCATCACCAAAATAACTTTTGTTCAAGTGCGTTAACGCCCACACAGCACAGCACGATGCATCTTCATTTGTGGGGTCCTCATTGACAAGTCAGAACAATGGTGAGCTCCCCGCCGGCGCATGGCGGCACACTGAACCAAGCCTGCAATGTTGCTCTCATCGAAACGGACACAGATGGATAGTCTCGTTCAACCACTTGTTGCCCAGTATCTCGCTATGGGCTGCCAATCCAAAGAAAATGGACAAAATGAAAATGTGGGATCGAATGGAAAGGAAAAAGGACATTCGTAAGTTATTCTTTTATAACGAACTCCTTCCTGTGTTTGTGAATTAACTGAACAGGTTTATGGAGCGCATTACGTGCACAGATTAAATACATTTGAAACATACGCAATTTTGAAACCTTTATTGACACCGAATAAATATTTGAATCTTGTACAATTTTCCAATGTAGTCCTAATTTAAATCAGACACTTTTGGTGGTTCTTGGTCGTAGAAGAACTTGAGCACAACAATTCAGTGCGCTGCGATTTATAAAAGCATCAGCCAGTGCGCACAAAATGTGCACTCTCAAAACAGCTTATCTATAGCCTATTTGTTCTCTCCTTCAAATTGAATGCCATAGTTGAGTGTTTTTAAGTGCTATTTTAGCCTATCGTGTGGAAAGTGTATAGAACAAGTGCATGGTATCCTCTCTGTTTATCAGCCAACTAAATGTTAATTTAGTGCAACCCCGGTTCTCGAGTACCCCTAACAGTACACATTTTTATTGTAACCCTGGACAAACACACCTAACTCAATTTGTCAACTAATCATCAAGCCCTCAATGAGCTGAATTAGGTGTGTTTGTCCAGAGGTACAGCAAAAATGTGTACTGTTGGAGGTAGTTGAGGACCAGGGTTGGGGAAACACTGATTTAGTGTAGCCCATAATGGTAGTCGGGTAATCAACAATGATTTCCCCAAAGGGAAGTGAATGAGAACAATGAAAAATAGCACAGCTATGGTAACTGTAAGATACCTGGTATTAAGCATGTTTTAGTATTTTGTAATGAACCTGATAAGTGTTGTGTTAGTTGCAATATTTTTGGTACACTTATACCTACATTTTATTTGAGTGTGTGATTTTATTGTGTTGTATACTTCAATAGTATATTGTTCACTGCATGCTGTGAAAGTCCTATCATATTTTTAATGTAGCCCATAATGGTAGTCGGTAATCAACAATGATTTCCCCAAAGGGAAGTGAATGAGAACAATGAAAAATAGCACAGCTATGGTAACTGTAAGATACCTGGTATTAAGCATGTTTTAGTATTTTGAAATGAACCTGATAAGTGTTGTGTTAGTTGCAATATTTTTGGTACACTTATACCTACATTTTATTTGAGTGTGTGATTTTATTGTGTTGTATACTTCAATATTGTATTGTTCACTGCATGCTGTGAAAGTCCTATCATATTTTTAATGTAGCCCATAATGGTAGTCGGTAATCAACAATGATTTCCCCAAAGGGAAGTGAATGAGAACAATGAAAAATAGCACAGCTATGGTAACTGTAAGATACCTGGTATTAAGCATGTTTTAGTATTTTGAAATGAACCTGATAAGTGTTGTGTTAGTTGCAATATTTTTGGTACACTTATACCTACATTTTATTTGAGTGTGTGATTTTATTGTGTTGTATACTTCAATATTGTATTGTTCACTGCATGCTGTGAAAGTCCTATCATATTTTTAATGCCCCCCCCCCCCCCCCGTAACACACACCTCCCTCTATCTCACTCCCTCTCTCCTCCACTGCCCCTCCAGACGGCTCTGTCCGGGACCGGGATGTGGCTCCAGGTCTAAGGTCTGTCCGCCGGTGCCTGCCCGGCCTCAGCGGTTCAACAGGCCCAACCTGGCCCAGATGACCCAGGGCAAGGTCATGATGTCTCTGCCGGGACACTTCACAAAGGGGGCCAGCTGGGAGGAGCTGATCCAGGCCTGTATCCAGTCCTTTGGTGAGTCCCTGTGCTCTGAGCTGCTCTTGTGTTTCTGCCAGTAATACTATTGGTAACTAATGTGCTGCATATTTCGCTCTGTTATTTGAAAATTATTTCTGGCTCAGTCGGTAGAGCATGGCACTTGCAACGCCAAGGGTCATGGGTTCAATTTCTGCTGGGACCACCTTACGTAAATTGGATGCATGCATGACTAAGTCACTTTGGATAAAAGCGTCTGTTAAATCACATAAAAATATGTTGTTGTTTTTGGTTGCATGTAAAATTAGAAACATGCTTAATATTTCAGTTTGTTGTTGAGCTGTACAAAATGGTTGTGCAGGTCAGGATCATTGTCATTAGTTGTGCATGTCAGGTTAGAGCATCCGCTTCATTTGATCATTTTTAAATGGCGCTGAATGCTGAACCTCCGTTTATTTGAAATCAGTACGGTGAGTGTTTCCTGGAAGCACCTGTTTTTCTCGGCCTCTAGCTGTTTGATGTTAAGAGACACTGTCTCCATTAAACTGTCACCATTTACAAGGTATCTCTAACTAGCCTATAGTGCTAAGTTGACACAAACAGACCACATTTGAAGACTTAAATGAACTAGCCTCTATTTGTTGTCTAACAACATGGTCGTCAGTCTTTGCTTTTGAGATGATAAGACAGTGATTGACATTAAGGTCTTGTTGCCCGAAGATTATGATCACTTGCCAGAAAATTTAAAGTAGCTATTTTCACCTACAGAATGGAGGAACCAGAAAGACCAGACTACTGGAATTTTGGTTGTTATCATTTAAAAAAAGCTCAGAGCAGGTTCAACTTTTGCGACTGCTCAGGTCACTTGCCCCGGGTAATAGGGCAACCCTTCATACCAATCCCTGTAAGACTATATAATTGTATGTGGATCCAACTATGCCTGCTATGAATATGAGATAACACAATCATTCAACAACTGAAGTACTGATTCAGTAGATGTGGAATGTGATTAAGCAAATCACATTAGTAATACATTAACTTTTCCCATTTACATGGATTTATATATTCTGTTTATTGGCTGCCAGGGCCGGCCCCAGGAATAAGCGACATAGGCTGTTGCCTAGTAACTCAGTCGGGATCTCAATTTACTGATGAGAGTAAGAGTAGTAGAATTCACCAGGTGCAATTTGGAAATTTGGTTGTGCATCAGTAGTTTTTTCTCTTTTTATGTCAGTCACTGACAGTCACTCAATTAACCATGTAACAATTTATAGATTGGTAAGTTAGTCTAGCCAGCTATCTAAACTTGTAGTAATCATGGCCGAATAAAGATTGGACACGTGCCCATGGGCCCTGACCTCCAGGGGGCCCCCATTGATTTTGTATGTCACTCTCACTCCGATATCATTAACATGGCATAAGTCATGAAAACATTTGCTTTAACACTGCAAAAACTTCTCTCCACCCCATGGCAAAATGAAATTAGCTGTAAAACTGGAATTGTTTTCTCTCTGCCAATGGCAAAATGAATAGAATTGCATGACATTTGTTATCAAATTCCAAAATGTTCTCTCTGCCCCATAGCAAAATGTGTAGAGCTGCATAAAACTGGCTTTAAAACTGCAAAAAAAATGTCTATGCCCCATTGCAAAGTGTGTTGAATTGTAAGAAATTAACTTTAAAACGAAAATGTTTCTCTCCACCGTCAAGAGGGGAGCTACTAAAATGTTTTGCCCGCGAGGTAGGTAGGTGGGGGGGGGGGGCAACAAAATCTCGCCTAGGGCCCCCAAAAGGCTAAGGCCATCCCTGTTGGCTGCACTATAAATGCTGTCAAAAACCTGGTCAAGAAACCCTGTCAAATTAGAATCATGTGCTCTACGAAGTTGTCTGGAGTGCTCTCAAAGTTATGGTAATTATGTCTTTGAAGAGGCAAGCATTCAGATTGCCGTTGCTTGGAGACACAAATGGAGTGAAGAGAGAGTGATGAGGAGGTGGTACAATGGACTGAATACAGAAAATGACATCCCCTACTTACAGTTACAGTATCTGTCAGCAAGAACAATAGCAGAATAATGGCTGGCTGTTCATTTAGGATATATATTTTAAAAAAAGATCAGCTAAGTTAATCAAGTGAGAGCAAGAAATTCAAATCCTCTCATTGGAATCTGGTCTAAAGTATGGAGATTAACAGGCAGGTGTTTTTAAATCCAGGTTAATATAAGGGACAAAATAGAGGTACCTAGTACAGAGGGGTCTAAGAGGGTTGAGTGCTCCCCAGCGGCTGCTGTCTCACATCAGAGGCTGACCCCCCAGGTCCTGGGGATCTGGCACCTTTTTCAAATGTGAGAGCATACGCAAGAGCTATTTGAAGGATTAGCTGGCAGCTGCTAGCCCAAAGGTCAGCTCCCCAAACGACCCTCCTCAGATGCTGACCACTCTTTGAAATGCAGAGGACCAAGGAGCGTGGATCAATATTGTTTGACATCATCATACACCCCCAAGTTCACACTCCACAGTTCCACTCACCCACATTGCCCGAAGTCTCTACGCAATCATAATGTTAATGGACAGCAATGGGCAGTGCATATATTTGAAGGCCTCAATCGTGGAAGACATTTTGAATGAAATGCATATTCCATATAAATCATGTATGATGCAGGCACACAACCTGTGAATGTCACAAAGAGATAAACCATGAGTCAGAGTATCCACTGCAGACTCGGATGTACTGTAGACACTGTGAAAAACCTTTATGTGCCTATGGCGGGCAATATATGTACACTTACAGAGCATCATGGCTGTCTGGGGGATTAAAGTAAGTTCCTGTACTCAGTAATGTATTGTTCTACATGTAGGCCTACAGCATGCTGGTACATGCAGTAGTGAGAGAACTATTGAAAGTGTGCAACTAATAATGAAATATAAATCTCTGGGGTCTCTTAGACCGTTCCTTACCGGTTCTTTCATGTGTACAGTAGAGATAAGCATCAGGCTGACGGAGGCAAAACAAAAGGATCATCCATCCCGTTAGCCCTGTTACTGTACCTCTCTGTCAAAACAAGGAAAGACTCCTTACACCGGGGCTTTCTGATGAATGCCTACGATAATAAAACCCCTCAAAGTAGGGCAACACTCCCTGCTCTTTGTTGTGTTTGTCATCATATCCCTCCTCCTATCCCAGTGCTGCCTGCTGCTGCTTTCCTAACTTTCCACAGTGAGTAAAACGGAGGGGATTTCCTCAGCAATTAGCCAAGTCTGGGTTAGCAGGGAGGTGTTGTGAAATGATCAAGCAATTGTTTACCTGGTAGTGAATCAAAACAGCTTCCTTGATATTTTAGGTCATTTTAGAGTACGTGTCAAACTCCACCCTTGTATTTGATTGATGAATTAAGGTCACTAATTAGTAAGGAACTCCCCTCACCTGGTTGTCTAAGTCTTCATTCAAAGGAAGAAAAAAAAGACTTGGCCCTCCGTGGAATGAGTTGGACACACCTGTTATAGAGCATGACTTGCTTACATGATTACAGCCATAAAAACAGCAATAAAACACTGTTCAGTTTGTTATAGTAGAGGAAGGATATAGTACAGTGACAGTATAATGTTTCAAAACTATTGATCTTCTAGATGTTTCTTTTTACTCTTGCCAGTTTTTTATTCTCTAAGATCACGTCTGTGTGTCATACTGACCTGGGAAGGTAACTTTTCATTGACATTGACCATTGGGGCGTTGTAGCCATTGTTTGGACGAGTAAACAGAACACTCCCGTACCAGCGGTGCAGGATACGAGGACAGGATTAGCTGCCTGCTGAAGTATTATTATTTATTTTTATTTGACCTTTATTTGACCAGGTAAGCCAGTTGAGAACAAGTTCTCATTTACAACTGCGACCTGGCCAAGATAAAGCAAAGCAGTGTGATTAAAAACAACAACAACACAGAGTTACATATGGAATAAACAAAAACAAAATGTACAGTCAATAACGCAATAGAAAATCTATATACAGTGTGTGCAAATGTAATAAGTTATGGAGGTAAGGCAATAAATAGGCCATAGTGCAAAATAATTACAATTTAGTATTAACACTGGAGTGATAGATGTGCAGAAGATGATGTGCAAATGGAGATACTGGGGTGCAAATGAGCAAAATAAATAACAATTTAAATAACAATATGGGGATGAGGTAGTTGGGTGGGCTAATTACAGATGGGCTGTGTACAGGTGCAGTGATCAGTTAGCTGCTCTGACAACTGATGCTTAGTTACAACTGAAGTTAGTGAGGGAGATAAGTGTCTCCAGTTTCAGAGATTTTTTGCCGTTCGTTCCAGTCATTTGCAGCAGAGAACTGGAAGGAATGGGGATGGAAGGCTTTGGGGATGACCAGTGAGATATACCTGCTGGAACGAATACTACGTGTGGGTGTTGCTATGGTGACCAATGATCTAAGATAAGGCGGGGATTTGCCTAGAAGTGATTTATAGATGACCTGGAGCCAGTGGGTTTGGCAACGAATATGTAGTGAGGGCCAGCCAACGAGAGTGTACAGGTCACAATGGTGGGTAGTATATGGGGCTTTGGTGACAAAACGGATGGCACTGTGATAGACTACATCCAATTTGCTGAGTAGAGTGTTGGAAGCTATTTTATAAATGACATCGCTGAAGTCAAGGATCGGTAGGATAGTCAGTTTTACGAGGGCATGTTTAGCAGCATGAGTGAAGGAGGCTTTGTTGCGAAATAGGAAGCCGATTCTAGATTTAACTTTGGATTGGAGATGCTTAATGTGAGTCTGGAAGGAGAGTTTACAGTCTAACCAGACACCTAGGTATTTGTAGTTGTCCACATATTCTAAGTCAGACCCGTCGAGAGTAGTGATTCTAGTCGGGCGGGCAGGTGCAAGCAGCGTTCGATTGAAAGTGACCCAGTGAGATAGATAACAAAGATTAGAAAGGATCATGTTGCCATGGTGTCTGTGGTATTTCAAGGAGATATGGGATAAGTGGGGACCCATGGAAACTGGAGTCCTTGTGTGGCATCAAAACAATGCCAGCTGCTTAGGTTCAAAGTTAAACACCATTTTAATGGTTTCGTCAAGGTGATCTCTTAGCCACGATTCGATTTCCAGAAAATCACTGTCAAATTGTTTACCTCTACCTGGAATGGAAGAGACAGGAAGTCTACACTCTTAGAGAAAAGGGTTTCAAAGGGATTATTTGGCTGACTCCATAGGATAACCTTTTTTGGTTCCTTGTAGAACCCTCTGTGGAAAGGGTTTTACATGGAACCCCACAAGAGTTCTACCTGGAACCAAAAAAGGTTATTCAAAGACAACCATGATAGTGAACCGCTTACTTATACACAACATGTTACAGCGGACCAATAAAATATAAGCATTTCTCAAGTAAGATCATTTGTAAAAGAAAGGCTAATGTAGTTAGAAATGGAATCTGCAATTGCTACTTTGCAGTGGTGTAAAGTACTTAAGTAAAAATACTTTAAAGTACTACTTGAAGTAGTTTTTGGGGGTATCTGTACTTCACTTTACTATTTATATTTTTTGACAACTTATACTTTTACTTCACTACATTCCTAAAGAAATAATGTACTTTTTACTCCATACATTTTCCCTGACACCCAAAAGTACTCGTAAAATTTTTTATGCTTAGCAGGACAGAAAACTGTCCAATTCACACACTTATCAAGAGAACATACCTGGTCATCCCTACTGCCTATTATCTGGCGGACTCACTAAACACACATGCTTTGTGTCTCAGTGTTGGAGTGTGCTCCTGGCTATCCGTAAATAAATAAAAACAAGAAAGTTGTGCCGTCTGGTATTGCTTAATATAAAGAATTTGAAATGATTCATACTTTTGATACTTAAGTATATTTGAGAAATTACATTTACTTTTGATACTTAAGTATATTTAAAATCAAATACTTTTAGACTTTTACTCAAGTAGTATTTTTTTGGGTGACTTTCACTTTTACTTGAGTCATTTTCTATTACGGTATCTTTACTTTTACTCAAGTATGACAATTGGGTACTTTTTCCACCACTGCTACTTTGTGGATACAGGTAACAATGTATTCCTTGAGATCTTTCCCACTGGGCACAAATGTCATTTCAACAACTAGTTTTGGTTTACATTTGGTTGAGTTGTCCAACTAACTAGAACTCAACGTGAAAATATATTTATATATTTTTATTTATTTAACCTTTATATAACCAGGTAAGCCAGTTGAGAACAAGTTCTCATTTACAACTGCGACCTGGCCAATATAAAGCATAGTAGTGCGATAAAAACAACAACACAGAGTTACATATGGGGTAAAAAAACATAAAGTAAAAAAATACACCAGAAAATATATATACAGTGTGTGCAAATGTAGCAAGTTATGGAGGTAAGGCAATAAATAGGCTATAGTGCAAAATAATTACAATTAGTATTAACACTGGAATGCTAGATGTGCAAGAGATTATGTGCAAATAGAGATACTGGGGTGCAAAAGAGCAAAATAAATAACAATATAGGGATGAGGTAGTTGGGTGGGCTAATTTCAGATGGGCTGTGTACAGGTGCAGTGATCTGTAAGGTGCTCTGACAACTGATGCTTAAAGTTAGTGAGGGGGATAAGAGTCTCCAGCTTCAGAACAGTTAAACAACACAATGTAACTCCAAGTCAATCACACTTCTGTGAAATCAAACTGTCCACTTAGGAAGCAACACTGATTGACAATACATTTCACATGCTGTTGTGCAAATGGAATAGACAACAGGTGGAAATTATAGGCAATTAGCAAGACACCCCCAATAAAGGACTGGTTTTGCAGGTGGTGACCACAGACCACTTCTCAGTTCCTATGCTTCCTGGCTGATGTTTTGGTCACTTTTGAATGCTGGCGGTGCTTTCACTCTAGTGGTAGCATGAGACGGAGTCTACAACCCACACAAGTGGCTCAGGTAGTGCAGCTCATCCAGGATGGCACATCAATGCGAGCTGTGGCAAGAAGGTTTGCTTTGTCTGTCAGCGTAGTGTCCAGAGCATGGAGGCGCTACCAGGAGACAGGCCAGTACATCAGGAGACGTGGAGGAGGCCGTAGGAGGGCAACAACCCAGCAGCAGGACCGCTACCTCCGCCTTTGTGCAAGGAGGAGCAGGAGGAGCACTGCCAGAGCCCTGCAAAATGACCTCCAGTAGGCCACAAATGTGCATGTGTCTGCTCAAACGGTCAGAAACAGACTCCATGAGGGTGGTATGAGGGCCCGACGTCCACAGGTGGGGGTTGTGCTTACAGCCCAACACCGTGCAGGACGTTTGGCATTTGCCAGAGAACACCAAGATAGGCCAATTCGCCACTGGCGCCCTGTGCTCTTCACAGATGAAAGCAGGTTCACACTGAGCACATGTGACAGACGTGACAGAGTCTGGAGAACGTTCTGCTGCCTACAACATCCTCCAGCATGACCGGTTTGGCGGTGGGTCAGTCATGGTGTGGGGTGGTATATTTTTGGGGGGCCGCACAGCCCTCCATGTGCTCGCCAGAGGTAGCCTGACTGCCATTAGGTACCGAGATGAGATCCTCAGACCCCTTGTGAGACCATATGCTGGTGCGGTTGGCCCTGGGTTCCTCCTAATGCAAGACAATGCTAGACCTCATGTGGCTGGAGTGTGTCAGCAGTTCCTGCAAGAGGAAGGCATTGATGCTATGGACTGGCCCACCTGTTCCCCAGACCTGAATCCAATTGAGCACATCTGGGACATCATGTCTCGCTCCATCCACCAACGCCACGTTGCACCACAGACTGTCCAGGAGTTGGCGGATGCTTTAGTCCAGGTCTGGGAGGAGATCCCTCAGGAGACCATCCGCCACCTCATCAGGAGCATGCCCAGGCGTTGTAGGGAGGTCATACAGGCACGTGGAGGTCACACACACTACTGAGCCTCATTTGGACTTGTTTTAAGGACATTACATCAAAGTTGGATCAGCCTGTAGTGTGGTTTTCCACTTTAATTTTGAGGGTGACTCCAAATCCAGACCTCCATGGGTTGATACATTTGATTTCCATTGATAATTTTTGTGTGATTTTGTTGTCAGCACATTCAACTATGTAAAGAAAAAAGTATTTAATAAGATTATTTCATTCATTCAGATCTAGGATGTGTTTTAAGTGTTCCCTTTATTTTTTTTAGCAGTGTATAATGTCACCATGTCATTGGATTTAGGTTTAAAGTTTGGTGGAAAAAAAGACAAAATGCCCTTATATATATATATATTTTTTTTTTAATCCAATTAGTTTTCTATGTTTTTTTTGTTGTGAAAATGACGTTTTTCAGTTTTTGCCTTGTGGGTTTCCACATTGTCATATATATTTTTTTTATCTCCAGTGCCTCTAGGGACAAAGCTGTTAGAGTAGATGACAGAGATGGTGGCTGCAGGACCCTGTGATGTCAGTAGTGTTAGCAGAGTTAGGGGAGGTGGTCACAAAGACAGGAAGTGAGATAAGACAGAGAAAAGTAGACAACACCACCACAGGAAAGGCAGCTTGTCAAGCATGACCTCACTACATTAGAGATAGAAGGGGAATTGGTAAAAGTAGTTGTACTTAGATGACAATGCTATCACACATGCCATTTATTTTTATACATGTCCGTTACCCAATGACTAAATACATTTGAGATTTGCATTTGGCACATTATTGTGCTCATGGTTGATTTCTATCATTCTTTTTCTGTTATTGCATGACTTTGCAGACTTGTGGCTGAAAGAAATCAGGTAGTTTTAATGGCTACATCCCCTTGTTTTGTTGACATTGATTCTGTAGCATGACATGACTGCTAGATGTAGTTATCCAAGAGCTACAGTATCATTGGACATTCATTTTCTTGTCCATATGCAATCTCAACCATCTATAGTACAGTGTTGGCATTGTGATGTGCAACAGAATGTCTGTTGACGTGCTCCATGTGTTGTGGTCCTCTGTAGCTCAATTGGTAGAGCATGGCGCTTGTAACGCCAGGGTAGTGGGTTCGATCTCCGGGACCACCCATACGTGAAAATGTATGCACACATGACTGTAAGTCGCTTTGGATAAAAGCGTCTGCTAAATGGCATAGTATTATTCCAGATGCAGAGGGCTGTGTGTATGGGAGCAGTCACCTGATGAACATCACCCTGACCATGCACCGACTCCTCATGTCCTCCAGTGACCTCCTGGAGAAACTCACCTCCCTATATCCTTTACCAAGCAGACCCAATGCTCTGCGGCTGCTCCACTACAGCCAAAACTATGATTGAGTTGGCACAAGGACCTGACCAATCTGTTGTGCCAAACATAACACAGGATCTTTACCGGCTGTGCAGCACTGTTTTGTGATTTGGTTGTCAGTAGCAACGGCCAATTAAGATCCAACTTGGCTGACAAGGTGCCATGCCATCGACGCCTCACTCCTCCAATCAATGTGACTGTCAGTGGCAATATGTGTGCACCCCAATTTCGTATTACTGTACTTTAGATCTTTGCTAGCTCCAGTACACATCACCATGTTCTGTTTCAAATCCAGTGTCTTCCAGGTACCTTACATTCTTGTTCTATTACAATCTTAGCTGCACAGGACCATTCGAAAAGCACGAATCCTCCCAATTTAATTCCCCCACTTCAGGTCTGGTTTAAAAAGGTAACTCTAGAAGCCTATTTTCTGTTTTAAATGAGCGGTATATAATCTAGGCCTCCATTCAACAAAGAGCTCTGACGTCACAGAGCCTAGAGGAGCAGCAGGACTGGCCCAGTGAGGAGGGAACTAAGGCTAGGGGCTTCAGGTATTAATGAGCTCTTCCCAGACTGACGTCCTTTTCAGATAAATGCACAGCCTCTCAGCTGCCCAAGGAGGCTCGCTCACCAAAACCCACGTCACACCTCAAGATGCACAATGTGTCCTGCCCTCTATTTTTAACCCCTGGGCTCGTTCTGAGCCTAGGACTCAGACGCATGTACCAAATATTGTTAAGATTGGGTTAGGAACAAGGGAAAGCACTGGAGCCATTAATGCCATTTATTGTAAACACAATCTGGCTTTGGGATGGTGTGGACAGCTCTTGAGCTCCCATGATGCAATTAGCCTTTTTATGTGCATCACTTCAAGCTGATTTCTGCCAATAGAGTGCTGTGGCGAGGCTTACAGTGCCTGGCTATTTTTACCCCTGTTATATATAATAAGAAGAATGGAGATGTTTTTTAGTTTCGATTAATACAATCCCCCAGAGATTCTGGTCACTCTGTACTTACTGAGCATATGGCACAGCAGCTTAGGTAATAAACTGTTCTCACACTCAAAGCCATTGGGAGGTAAAAGTATCATTAAGTGAGCTGTGTTTTTACCTGGTTGAGAGAACATGTTTTTACTAAATAAAAGGGTCCTCTGCCAGCACATTTAATACACAGTCTGTTTTGGTAGGAATAGTGAATGTGTGTTGGGCACGTTTAACAGACACACCAAAGCATCCAAGGAATCCAACCCATAGCCCTGTAAACACCATATTTCAACCAACTGAGCTATTGGAACACCAGAATGATTCACTTGCTGATGCTCCTAACCAGTTTTCCCATTTGTGATCGCCTCCTCCCACACCACCAAATGTCACATCTATTCACCTTTTAGTTTCCCTATTGATGACTTTCCTGCACTAAATATAATAAACACCAATTTGGAATTGTTTACTTAGATCAGGTGTGTCAAACTCCATGGAGGGCCTAGTGTCTGCTGGTCTTTGGTTTTTCCTTTCAATTAAGACCAAGACAACCAGGTGAGGGGAGTTCCTTACTAATCAGTGACCATAATTCATCAATCAAGTACAAGGGTGGAGCAAAAACCTGCAGACACTCGGCCCTCCGTAGAATGAGTTTGACACGTGACTTAGATGAATAGAAATGAATAGACACTTTGTCCTGCACAGTGATCCAGATCGTTTATTCACTAACAAATCCCACATACAGTTCCTGGTCTCTTCCCTGACTCTAAACAATGTGCACATGTTTTAATATACCAGTGAATCATAATGTATCCTTAACTTGAGTTGTTACATTTAAAAGCACCCTGGAGAATGAGCAGTCCACAGAATGTGAGAGGATCTGCTACTTCATCAGGTAAGTGTGTGTTCCCCGTGCAGTGGTCCTGATCCTGTCACTACCACAGGGCCTGTTGGGGTCCACTAAGGTCTCCACACAATACCTCACTGTTCAATCATTCTTATGAAAGAGCTTATGAAATCCACTTATCACCTAATAATACAATGGTTTAGGTCATGCTATTATTGCATTTACTTTAAACTATAGTGTTGATTTAATTGTGGTAAACAATCTATTTTCTATCTATTTCAGGTATTGGATCCAGGAGTTCTGGACAATGTTCCGGTTGCACAGCAGCCTGTCAGACTCCATGGAGCAGTTCCAGGATCTGATCAGAGATCAGGGCCAGGAGAGGCTGTGCCCTCTGTTGCAGACTAAATGGATGTAAGTATCCCCGGTATATTACTGAACATAATTAATGTCTCTCTGGCTTAACATTCATGCTGATGTAATAGTTTCAAATTATGCCTGTGTAGTACACTATATATACAGAAGTATGTGGACACCCCTTCAAGTTAGTGGATTCGGCTATTTCGGCCACACCCGTTCAGCCACACAGCCATGCAATCTCCATAGACAAACATTGGCAGTAAAATGGCCTTAGTGAAGAGCTCAGTGACTTTCAAAGTGGCTCCGTCATAGGATGCCACCTTTCCAACGAGTCAGTTCGTAAAATTTCTACCCTGCAAGAGCTGCCCCGGTCAACTGTAAGTGCTGTTACTGTGAATTGGAAACGTCTAGAAGCAACAATGGCTCAGCCGCGAAGTGGTAGGTCACACAAGCTCACAGAAAGGGACTGCTGAGTGCTGAAGCGAGTAACGCGTAAAAATCACCTGTTCTTGGTTGCAACACTCACTACAGAGTTCCAAACTGCCTCTGGAAGCAACGTCAGCACAATCTTCATCGGGAACTTCATGAAATGGGTTTCCTTGGCCAAGCAGCCTCACACAAGCCTAAGATCACCATGCGCAATGCCAAGCGTCGGCTGGAGTGGTGTAAAGCTCGCCGCCATTGGGTTCTGGAGCAGTGGAAACGCGTTCTTTGGAGTGATGAATCACGCTTCACCATCTGTCAGTCCAACTGACTAATCTTGGTTTGGCGGATGCTAGGAGAACGCTACCTGCCCAAATGCATAGTGCCAACTGTACTAGTTTGGTGGAGGAGGAATAATGGTCTGGGGCTGTTTTTCATGGTACAGGCTCCTAGTTCCAGTGAAGGGAAATCTTAACGCTACAGCATACAATGACATTCTAGACGATTCTGTGCTTCCAACTTTGTGGCAACAGTTTGGGAAAGTCCCTTTCCTGTTTCAGCATGACAATGCCCCGGTACACAAACCGAGGTCCATACAAAAATGGTTTGTCGAGATCGGTGTTGAAGAAGTTGACTGGCCTGCACAGAGCCCTGACCTCAACCCCATCTAACACCTTTGGGATGAATTGGAACACTGATTGCGAGCCAGGCCTAAGTGGCCAACATCAGTGCCCGACCTCACTAATGCTTTTGTGGCTGAATGGAAGCAAGTCCCTGCATCAATGTTACAACATCTAGTGGAAAGCCTTCCAAGAAGAGTGGAGGCTGTTATAGCAGCAAAGGGGGGACCAACTCCATATTAATGCCAATGATTTTGGAATGAGATGCTCGACGAGCAGGTGTCCACATACTTTTATTCATATAGTGTACCTCTGTATTTCCTGTCTATGTTGTTTACCATGTTGTGTCTCAGAAATGACAGGCACTGGTCTCAGAAGCCCAGTCAGAGGATCAAAGGCTAGCAGAAGTAAGAAGAGGAAAGTGTCTCTGCTGTTTGATCACCTGGAGCCCATCGAGCTGGCTGAGCACCTCACCTACCTGGAGTTCAAGTCCTTCTGTAGAATATCAGTGAGTAGAGTCCCAATCCGCCTGTATGTGATCAAATGACTTGACATTGGGAAGAATCTCATAGCACATACTCTCTACTTTAGGTATTGCAATGCATTCCAAATGTGTTCCGCCAACCTCTGTCCTTTTAGCAAAATGAGTCAGCATATGCTTTATTATTTCTGCCAGTTTGTAGACTACCAGAACTACATCCGCAGCTGCTGCATGAAGGACAACCCCATGATGGAACGTTCCATTACATTGTGTAATGGTATCTCCCAGTGGGTGCAGCTCATGGTTCTGAGTCGGCCTACAGCTCAGCTGAGAGCAGAGGTCTTCACCAAGTTCATCCATGTGGCTCAGGTATGGCCCTAACTATTCCTCCTCCTCCTTATCTATCATAGACTAACACTCTCTCTCTACAGTTTATGTATAAAAAAATTACAAAATGTCCACATACAAGGTGTTTAGCTTCCATGTTTTGTACCCTCTTAAAGAGTGTTTGTTCATTGTGTATATCCGGTACCTTTTCCTCGGCTTAAGCTAATGCATGTCTACTATCTCGTACAGTACAGTGAGACCTACCTACTGCTGAGCTGCAGAAGCACCATCATTTGTAGTTACATAATGCATATTAAAAGAGGGCTGCTAATGACTCTCAAGAGTTCCATGATGGGCTTTTAGTGCATCAAAGATGCTTGCTAACAGAGAATGTGTGCTCTGAATATTAACAAAGTACAGGCCATCCGCACTAATGGATTTATCAGGTGAAACACTGACACTCAAGTGCTAGCAAGTATACCATGGAAAAATGGATAAAGTCTGGTTTATTATGCCTCTTCACCACTTTATTCACATGCAAAGCTGTATCCTGAAAAGTGATGACGAGCTGAGAGAGTTGGATGGAGAGGCCAAACTCTGGAGAATCTCTCTAGGTTACATTAAAGGGATACTTCAGGATTTTGGCAATGAGAGAGTCAGATGAACTCGTGGATATCATTTTTAGGTTTCGTGTCCAGTATGAAGGAAGTTAGAGGTAGTATGCTAGCAGATACCATAGACTTCATGTCATTGCGCTAGCGCTAGTTAGCATTGGCTCACGAAACTACCTCTAACTTCCTTCATACTGGACACAGAAACCTAAAAATGATATCCACGAGTTCATCTGACTCTGGGGAAGAAGATAATGGTCATCATTGCCAAAATCCTGAAGTATCTCTTTAATGCACTAATCAGATGCTGCTCCTCTACCTTCTCTTAATGTATTCCAAATTGTAGACCTGCACCAGGCTGGGAAGACTGAATCTGCAATAGGTAAGCAGCTTGGTTTGAAGAAATCAACTGTGGGAGCAATTATTAGGAAATGGAAGACATACAAGACCACTGATAATCTCCCTCGATCTGGGGCTCCACGCAAGATCTCACCTCGTGGGGTCAAAATGATCACAAGAACGGTGAGCAAAAATCCCAGAACCACACGGGGGGACCTAGTGAATGACCTGCAGAGAGCTGGGACCAAAGTAACAAAGCCTACCATCAGTAACACACTACGCCGCCAGGGACTCAAATCCTGCAGTGCCAGACGTGTCCCCCTGCTTAAGCCAGTACATGTCCAGGCCCGTCTGAAGTTTGCTAGAGTGCATTTGGATGATCCAGAAGAGGATTGGGAGAATGTCATATGGTCAGATGAAACCAAAATAGAACTTTTTGGTAAAAACTCAACTCGTCGTGTTTGGAGGACAAAGAATGCTGAGTTGCATCCAAAGAACACCATACCTACTGTGAAGCATGGGGGTGGAAACATCATGCTTTGGGGCTGTTTTTCTGCAAAGGGACCAGGACGACTGATCCGTGTAAAGGAAAGAATGAATGGGGCCATATATCTTGAGATTTTGAGTGAAAACCTCCTTCCATCAGCAAGGGCATTGAATATGAAACTTGGCTGGATCTTTCAGCATGACAATGATCCCAAACACACCGCCCGGGCAACGAAGGAGTGGATTCGTAAGAAGCATTTCAAGGTCCTGGAGTGGCCTAGCCAGTCTCCAGATCTCAACCCCATAGAAAATCTTTGGAGGGAGTTGAAAGTCCGTGTTGCCCAGCGACAGCCCCAAAACATCACTGCTCTAGAGGAGATCTGCATGGAGGAATGGGCCAAAATACCAGCAACAGTGTGTGAAAACCTTGTGAAGACTTACAGAAAACGTTTTACCTGTGTCATTGCCAACAAAGGGTATATAACAAAGTATTGAGAAACCTTTGTTATTGACCAAATACTTATTTTCCACCATAATTTGCAAATAAATTCATTAAAAATCCTACAATGTGATTTTCTGGAGAAAAAAATTCTCATTTTGTCTGTCATAGTTGACGTGTACCTATGATGTAAATTACAGGCCTCTCTCATCTTTTTAAGTGGGAGAACTTGCACAATTGGTGACTGACTAAATACTTTTTTTCCCCACTGTATGTGTTAACCAGAGCCTCCATATTATGCACAACTTCAACACACTAATGGCTGTTGTGGGGGGCCTGTGCCACAGCTCCATCTCCAGACTTAAAGAGACCAGTTCACATGTGTCCCACGAGGTCACCAAGGTACATTATCTATAACATTATCATAACTTGATCTATTGATCAGTATGTTGACAAACGTCTCCAATATAAACATACTGTACAAGATGATCATCTACAATATCTTCTCCGCTGTCTCTTCTCTCCACAGGTGCTGAATGAGATGACAGACCTCCTGTCCTCCTGTAGGAACTATGACAACTACCGTCAGGTGTACAGCAGGTGTGCAGGCTTTAAGATCCCCATCCTGGGAGTCCACCTCAAGGACCTGATCTCAGTCAATGAGGCCATGTCGGACTACGTAGAGGACAACAAGGTGAATGTTCAGAAGCTCCAGGCTCTGTACAACCACATCAACGAGCTGATCCAGCTACAGCAGATCACCCCACAGCTCGACGCCAACAAAGACCTGGTCCACCTTCTCACGGTTAGTACACATGTATTTACACACTTATATTGCCACTGACACGTTTATACCTACAATACAAAAATGACACAAATAGTTGGGAAGAGATTTTTGACGTCCCGATTCCATGGCATAGTGTTTATGAACTGATACGCAAAATGACGCCGGATTCAAAACTTAGAATTTTTCAATTTAAATTATTATATAAAATTCTTGCTACCAATGGAATGTTATTTATATGGGGGATACAATCTTCCCAGCTCTGCAGATTTTGCTACGAAGAGACAGAATCATTAGATCATTTGTTTTGGTACTGTCCATTTGTAGCTTGTTTTTGGACAAAGGTCCAGGAATGGCTAAAGGATTGTAATATTTACCTGGCGCTAACCCTGCAGATAGCACAATTGGGTGATCTGAAAAGTCATAGTCAATCGATCAATAACATAATAATACTTTTAGCAAAAATGTTTATTTTCAATTTACAATCTGTAGAAATAATGAGAATAGAAAGGTTCAGAACTTTTGTAAAACATCACAGTACAGTTGAAAAATATATGGCAAATAGAAATCCAATATGGATGGTGTTAAGAGATAGATGGGTGGTGTTGAATTAAGTTGAAGGATGGGACTAATAACAACTAACAACAAGATAACTAATGTAAAGCATACTGTGTCCATAATAAGTATATAGGTTATAGGTTGAGAGCTTTTGTGAAAGAGCACAGTTAAAAAGATATGGCATATAGAAGCAAACCGGATGGACATCATGAAAATGATCGGAGGGTAGAGGAAGTTCAGGAGTAAAAACAAACAAAATATAAATATTGTAAATTTGACTGTGTCCATAAAATGTATATAGTATGTATAAGCTGGAAATAGAGGCCTAAGCATTGTTGTTCACTAGTTTACTCCAATTAGGGAAAGGGTGGTGGGGTTGGAAAGTAATAAAGGGAAATATATTTTTTTAAAGGATATGTATATGTGTTTATATATATGTATACAGTGAGGGAAAAAAGTATTTGATCCCCTGCTGATTTTGTACGTTTGCCCACTGACAAAGACATGATCAGTCTATAATTTTAATGGTAGGTTTATTTGAACAGTGAGAGACAGAATAACAACAAAAAAATCCAGAAAAACGCATGTCAAAAATTTTATAAATTGATTTGCATTTTAATGAGGGAAAAAAGTATTTGACCCCTCTGCAAAACATGACTTAGTACTTGGTGGCAAAACCCTTGTTGGCAATCACAGAGGTCAGACGTTTCTTGTAGTTGGCCACCAGGTTTGCACACATCTCAGGAGGGATTTTGTCCCACTCCTCTTTGCAGATCTTCTCCAAGTAATTAAGGTTTCGAGTCTGACGTTTGGCAACTCGAACCTTCAGCTCCCTCCACAGATTTTCTATGGGATTAAGGTCTGGAGACTGGCTAGGCCACTCCAGGACCTTAATGTGCTTCTTCTTCAGCCACTCCTTTGTTGCCTTGGCCGTGTGCTTTGGGTCATTGTCATGCTGGAATACCCATCCACGACCCATTTTCAATGCCCTGGCTGAGGGAAGGAGGTTCTCACCCAAGATTTGACGGTACATGGCCCCGTCCATCGTCCCTTTGATGCGGTGAAGTTGTACTGTCCCCTTAGCAGAAAAACACCCCCAAAGCATAATGTTTCCTCCTCCATGTTTGACGGTGGGGATGGTGTTCTTGGGGTCATAGGCAGCATTCCTCCTCCTCCAAACACGGTGAGTTGAGTTAATGCCAAAGAGCTCGATTTTGGTCTCATCTGACCACAACACTTTCACCCAGTTCTCCTCTGAATCATTCAGATGTTCATTGGCAAACTTCAAACGGGCCTGTATATGTGCTTTCTTGAGCAGGGGGACCTTGCGGGCGCTGCAGGATTTCAGTCCTTCACGGCGTAGTGTGTTACCAATTGTTTTCTTGGTGACTATGGTCCCAGCTGCCTTGAGATCATTGACAAGATCCTCCTGTGTAGTTCTGGGCTGATTCCTCACCGTTCTCATGATCATTGCAACTCCACGAGGTGAGATCTTGCATGGAGCCCCAGGCCGAGGGAGATTGACAGTTCTTTTGTGTTTCTTCCATTTGCGAATAATCGCACCAACTGTTGTCACCTTCTCACCAAGCTGCTTGGCGATGGTCTTGTAGCCCATTCCAGCCTTGTGTAGGTCTACAATCTTGTCCCTGACATCCTTGGAGAGCTCTTTGGTCTTGGCCATGGTGGAGAGTTTGGAATCTGATTGATTGATTGCTTCCTTTAAGAGTGTGCTCCTAATCTCAGCTCATTACCTGTATAAAAAACACCTGGGAGCCAGAAATCTTTCTGATTGAGAGGGGGTCAAATACTTATTTCTCTCATTAAAATGCAAATCAATTTATAAAATGTTTGACATGCGTTTTTCTGTTATTCTGTCTCTCACTGTTCAAATAAACCTACCATTAAAATTATAGACTGATCATTTCTTTGTCAGTGGGCAAACGTACAAAATCAGCAGGGGATCAAATACTTTTTTCCCTCACTGTATATATATATACACTGCTCAAAAAAATAAAGGGAACACTAAAATAACACATCCTAGATCTGAATGAATGAAATAATCTTATTAAATACTTTTTTCTTTACATAGTTGAATGTGCTGACAACAAAATCACACAAACATTATTAATGGAAATCAAATTTATCAACCCATGGAGGTCTGGATTTGGAGTCACCCTCAAAATTAAAGTGGAAAACCACACTACAGGCTGATCCAACTTTGATGTAATGTTCTTAAAACAAGTCAAAATGAGGCTCAGTAGTGTGTGTGGACTCCACGTGCCTGTATGACCTCCCTACAAACGCCTGAGCATGCTCCTGATGAGGTGGCGGATGGTCTCCTGAGGGATCTCTTCCCAGACCTGGACTAAAGCATCCGCCAACTCCTGTACAGTCTGTGGTGCAACGTAGGCGTTGGTGGATGGAGCGAGACATGATGTCCCAGATGTGCTCAATTGGATTCAGGTCTGGGGAATGGGCGGTCCATAGCATCAATGCCTTCCTCTTGCAGGAACTGCTGACACACTCCAGCCACATGAGGTCTAGCATTGTCTTGCATTAGGAGGAACCCAGGGCCAACCGCACCAGCATATGGTCTCACAAGGGGTCTGAGGATCTCATCTCGGTACCTAATGGCAGTCAGGCTACTTCTGGCGAGCATATGGAGGGCTTTGCGGCCCCCCAAAGAATTGCCACCCCACACCATGACTGACCCACCGCCAAAACCGGTCATGCTGGAGGATGTTGCAGGCAGCAGAACGTCTGTCACGTGCTCAGTGTGAACCTGCTTTCATCTGTGAAGAGCACAGGGCGCCAGTGGCGAATTTGCTCTCTGGCAAATGCCAAACGTCCTGCACAGTGTTGGGCTGTAAGCACAACCCCCACCTGTGGACATCGGGCCCTCATACCACCCTCATGGAGTCTGTTTCTGACCGTTTGAGCAGACACATGCACATTTGTGGCCTGCTGGAGGTCATTTTGCAGGGCTCTGGCAGTGCTCCTCCTGCTCCTCCTTGCACAAAGGCGGAGGTCGCAGTCCTGCTGCTAGGTTGTTGCCCTCCTACGGCCTCCTCCACGTCTCCTGATGTCTGGCCTGTCTCCTGGTAGCGCCTCCATGCTCTGGACACTACGCTGACAGACACAGCAAACCTTCTTGCCACAGCTCGCATTGATGTGCCATCCTGGATGAGCTGCACTACCTGAGCCACTTGTGTGGGTTGTAGACTCCGTCTCATGCTACCACTAGAGTGAAAGCACCGCCAGCATTCAAAAGTGACCAAAACATCAGCCAGGAAGCATAGGAACTGAGAAGTGGTCTGTGGTCACCACCTGCAAAACCAGTCCTTTATTGGGGGTGTCTTGCTAATTGCCTATAATTTCCACCTGTTGTCTATTCCATTTGCACAACAGCATGTGAAATGTATTGTCAATCAGTGTTGCTTCCTAAGTGGACAGTTTGATTTCACAGAAGTGTGATTGACTTGGAGTTACATTGTGTTGTTTAAGTGTTCCCTTTATTTTTTTGAGCAGTGTATATATATATATTTGTGAAGGAAAAAACATATGGGGGATTGGAAGTGATGCAGACAATTACATTGATGGAAGTTACAATCTATCTGCAATATTAAAGCTGATCTACTCCCTAAAAAAAAAATATATATATACAGTGGGGGAAAAAGTATTTAGTCAGCCACCAATTGTGCAAGTTCTCCCACTTAAAAAGATGAGAGAGGCCTGTAATTTTCATCATAGGTACACGTCAACTATGACAGACAAATTGAAAAAAAAAAATCCAGAAAATCACATTGTAGGATTTTTTATTAATTTATTTGCAAATTATGGTGGAAAATAAGTTTTGGTCACCTACAAACAAGCAAGATTTCTGGCTCTCACAGACCTGTAACTTCTTCTTTAAGAGGCTCCTCTGTCCTCCACTCGTTACCTGTATTAATGGCACCTGTTTGAACTTGTTATCAGTATAAAAGACACCTGTCCACAACCTCAAACAGTCACACTCCAAACTCCACCATGGCCAAGACCAAAGAGCTGTCAAAGGACACCAGAAACAAAATTGTAGACCTGCACCAGGCTGGGAAGACTGAATCTGCAATATGTAAGCAGCTTGGTTTGAAGAAATCAACTGTGGGAGCAATTATTAGGAAATGGAAGACATACAAGACCACTGATAATCTCCCTCGATCTGGGGCTCCACGCAAGATCTCACCCCGTGGGGTCAAAATGATCACAAGAACGGTGAGCAAAAACCCCACAACCACACGGGGGGACCTAGTGAATGACCTGCAGAGAGCTGGGACCAAAGTAACAAAGCCTACCATCAGTAACACACTACGCCGCCAGGGACTCAAATCCTGCAGTGCCAGACGTGTCCCCATGCTTAAGCCAGTACATGTCCAGGCCCGTCTGAAGTTTGCTAGAGTGCATTTGGATGATCCAGAAGAGGATTGGGAGAATGTCATATGGTCAGATGAAACCAAAATAGAACTTTTTGGTAAAAACTCAACTCGTCGTGTTTGGAGGACAAAGAATGCTGAGTTGCATCCAAAGAACACCATACCTACTGTGAAGCATGGGGGTGGAAACATCATGCTTTGGGGCTGTTTTTCTGCAAAGGGACCAGGACGACAGATCCGTGTAAAGGAAAGAATGAATGGGGCCATGTATCGTGAGATTTTGAGTGAAAACCTCCTTCCATCAGCAAGGGCATTGAAGATAAAACATGGCTGGGTCTTTCAGCATGACAATGATCCCAAACACACCGCCCGGGCAACGAAGGAGTGACTTCGTAAGAAGCATTTCAAGGTCCTGGAGTGGCCTAGCCAGTCTCCAGATCTCAACCCCATAGAAAATCTTTGGAAGGAGTTGAAAGTCCGTGTTGCCCAGCGACAGCCCCAAACATCACTGCTCTAGAGGAGATCTGCATGGAGGAATGGGCCAAAATACCAGCAACAGTGTGTGAAAACCTTGTGAAGACTTAAAGAAAACGTTTGACCTGTGTCATTGGCAACAAAGGGTATATAACAAAGTATTGAGAAACTTTTGTTATTGACCAAATACTTATTTTCCACCATAATTAGCAATAAATTCATAAAAATCCTACAATGTGATTTCCTGGATTTTTTTTTCTAATTTTGTCTGTCATAGTTGACGTGTACCTATGATGAAAATTACAGGCCTCTCTCATCTTTTTAAGTGGGAGAACTTGCACAATTGGTGGCTGACTAAATACTTTTTTTCCCCACTGTATATATATATATATATATATATATATATATAATATATATATATATATAAAATATAAAAAAGACACAAAAAAGTAATCATAATATCAGTGCAAAATATCAAATTCTTAGGCTAGTACACACTACTGTGTTGGTTGGTATATATCAGCTGTCTGACCTTGGTGTCCTCTACTGCTCAGCTGTCCCTGGACCTCTACTACACAGAGGACGAGATTTATGAGCTGTCTTATACCAGGGAGCCAAAGAACAGCAAAGCACCCGTGAGTAAAAAGGGGACATGAAAAACACTGTGGGAAATAAAACTGAAAATACCCCTAGCCATAGCAAGTTCACTGTGTTATGGCTAGGGGTATTTTACATTTCAAACGTGTAATAATACTCACAAAGACCCAGTTAGCGTTAGTGAATCATTTCTGAATGTTTGGAAATTGGATGTTGCATATCTCATTAACAAACCTATTGAAAGAGAACATGCACTGAAGCTCTTTTTTCATTGGCCCATTTAACATCAGCACGGTATATTCTACACCTGCTGACAGTGTTCTGATCATCTATTTTGTTTTACATCAGCCAGCCACCCCCTCTAGACCTCCAGTGGTTGTGAACTGGGCATCAGGCGTACCCCCAAAACCTGACCCCAAAACCATCAGCAAACATGTGCAAAGAATGGTGGATGTGAGTTGTCCATGACCTATCACTCTGTATTCTCATAGGCATTATATTCGGTTTCATAAAATAAGTAATCATGTTGTGATTATTGTTATGTCATGACTGTTATTGTTTACTACATACATTATTTCTCTGGAAGTTGTGGTTTTACTCCACCTCTCCCAGTTGATCTATTGTGCTTCATGTTTCATGTATCTCAATATGATTTCTTGTCTCTCGTCCTCAACAGTCCGTGTTTAAAAACTATGACCATGATGAGAATGGCTTCATCTCTCAAGAGGACTTTGAGAAAATTGCTGCTAGCTTTCCATTCTCCTTCTGTGTCATGGACAAAGAGAAGTAAGTGGAGGGTATGGTTCCATTGTGGGTGAATGGGTTCTCCTTTGGCACATTTGACAGTTCATTGTAACTGCATGGGTTCATTTGTGACTGCAGAGAAAGGAAACTAAAGTGGAATCTGTTAGCAGGGCCTGTAGAAACAGGAAACAGAAATAGCAACAGAACTATGAGCTAGCCACTCTCACTGTGGTCAACTGACAGGTTAAACCACACACTTTTTAACCAGTTAGCTACTGGAGTGAAACTGTTGAAGTGAAAATAAATTAGTTTTAGTTGCTCTTATTTCAATGGTGACATATGAAATGTTGCCCAATGCCTATACAGTACATTGCAAACATTTCTTATCAGACAGTTTGTTTACATGAGATATGCTTTGTGTTGTCCTGCTCCAGGGAAGGCCTAATCAGCAGAGAGGAGATCACAGCCTATTTCATGCGTGCTAGTGTCATCTGTTCCAAACTGGGTCTTGGCTTTGTCCACAACTTTCAGGAGACCACCTACATGAAGCCCACCTTCTGTGACAACTGCTCGGGATTCGTAATTCACTGCACTATATTACAGCACTATGTCCTGATCTGTCTGTCTTCAGCTAAGCTGTAGTTCTCATTAATAGGGCCAGGAGGTTTTCCAGACAATGTAACCTGATCAGGAAAAACTCTGGGCCTTAGTTATAGCCTACTCATCATCAATAGCAATGCTGTTTTAGGATAATCAATAGCATTGCTGGCTTTAAATGACTATATTTAAACATGCTCATTTTTAAATATGCATCACTTGTGTTATCTCTAAATAACCTTAGCAACGTCCTCTTCTCCATTACAGTTGTGGGGCGTCATAAAACAAGGCTATAGATGCAGAGGTGATTATTTATTTTTACTGTCACTGAGTCTAGACTGGAATATTCCATAGTGTTTTCATAAATGTCATACTGTATGTAGCTTAGAGTTCAGTACTTTGTATTGTGATAGAATAGAATGTTAGCAGAGGTTGTTGATAATGGGGAGGCTGTGAGAAGCAGGTAAAGTGTAGATATCTTGAGAAGAAGCTGCATTGTGTGGTTTCTGTCATGTAGACTGCTAGCTGAACCCTGCAACAGATAAGAGTCTGCAGTCGCAACCACAACATTGCTTTTTACCCTCTTCCCCTTGAAACAGTCAGAAACACGCTGTTTTCATGGCAACATGCACGTAAAGGTCTGAGAACTGTTCTGTTCCACAGGCTGAGCAGCACCATTAGGCTACTGAGGGGAATGGAAGTTACATTAGCTAGTAGGGTGCTAAAGTGTTCCGTTAGTAAATCACAATTAAACATGCATTACATTTACGTCATTCTCTGTGCAACCCAGCATGACCATACAATAATACTTTTTGAACTTCCTCCTTTCCACCTCTACCTGCTTTAACACATTGTCTACATTCTCTTGGCCTGCTCACAGACTGTGGGATGAACTGCCATAGGCTATGTAAGGATCAGGTGGCGTTTGAGTGTAAGAAGAATGCCAAAGGCAGCAGCACCTCTGAAGGTCCACTAACACCAGGGTCCACACCCGGCACAACAGGTGGCCCGGAAGGTGAGGAGGGACACGCACACAAACACACATACAGTGCATTCGGAAAGTATTCAGACCGTTTACTCAGTACTTTGTTGAAGCACCTTTGGTAGCGATTACAGCCTCGAGTCTACTTGGGTATGACGCTACAAGCTTGGCACACCTGTATTTGGGGAGTTTCTCCCATTCTTCTCTGCAGATCCTCTCAAGCCCTGTCAGGTTGGATGGGGAGAATCGCTGCACAGCTATTTTCAGGTCTCTCCAGAGATGTTAGATCGGATTCAAGTCCGGGCTCTGGCTGGGCCACTCAAGGACATTCAGAGACTTGTCCCAAAGCCACTCCTGCGTTGTCTTGGCTGTGTGTTTAGGGTCATTGTCCTGTTGGAAGGTGAACCTTTGCCCGAGTCTGAGGTCTTGAGCACTCTGGAGCAGGTTTTCATCAAGGATCTCTCTGTACTTTGATCAGTTCATCTTTCCCTCAAGCCTGACTAGTCTCCCAGTCCCTGCCGCTGAAAAATATGCCCACAGCATGATAACGCCACCACCATGCTTCACCGTAGGGATGGTGCCAGGTTTCCTCCAGACATAACGCTTGGCATTCAGGCCAAAGAGTTCAATCTTGGTTTCATCAGACCAGAGAATCTTGTTTCTCATGGTCTGAGAGTCCTTTAGGTGCCTTTTGGCAAACTCCAAGCGGGCTGTCATGTGCCTTTTACTGAGGAGTTGCTTCCATCTGGCCACTCTACCATAAAGGCCTGATTGGTGGAGTGCTGCAGAGATAGTTGTCCTTCTGGAAGGTTCTCCCATCTCCACAGAGGTACTCTGGAGCTCTGTCAGAGTGACCATCGGGTTCTTGGTCACCTCCCTGACCAAAATCCCTTCTCCCCCGATTGCTCCGTTTGGCCGGGTGGCCAGTTCTAGGAAGAGTCTTGGTGGTTCCAAACTTCTTACATTTAAAAATGATGGAGGCCACTGTGTTCTTGGGGACCTTCAATGCTGCAGACATTTTATGTTACCCTTCCCCAGATCTGTGCCTCGACGCAATCCTGTCTCGGAGCTCTACGGACAATTCCTTCGACCTCATGGCTTGGTTTTTTCTCTGACATGCACTGTCAACTATGTGGGACCTTATATAGACAGGTGTCTGCCTTTCCAAATCAAGTCCAATCAATTGAATTTACCACAGGTGGACTCCAATCAAGTTGTAGAAACATCTCAAGGATGATCAATGGAAACTGGATGCACCTGAGCTCAATTTCGAGTCTCAGAGCAAAGGGTCTGAATACTTATGTAAATAAGGTATTTCTGTTTTCCCTTTGTCATTATGGGGTATTGTGTGTAGATTGCTGAGGATTTTGTATTCATTTAATCCATTTTAGAATAAGGCTGTAACGTAACAAAATGTGGAAAAAGTGAAGGGGTCTGAATACTTTCCGAATGCACTGTACACACATACTAAATAGGTTCTTCACCTAAAATAGTGAAAACCACATGTACTGTAGTAGTAGGTCTCCATCTGTTGGCCTAGAAGTAATATATCATCCTCATTGTGCTTACTACCGGTTAATAAACTAAAACCTATTTGTCTCAGATAGGCCTAAACTGTACCATTCAATGTGGCAACCATTCTTGACACTGGTCATATAGAGTGCAAATACACATGAACTTTAAAATGCCAAATCATTACTTGAAAGATACAGTATGTTTTTGCAGATGATAGTGCAGGTTTAAGATAGTTTATGGAAAAGTACCACAGCATCCTGGGTAGTTTCCCTGTGTAGGTGGACTCAAACTGTCATACTGCTCGCTAAAGTCAAGGACCTGCCTCACTTACCGTACTACTAAAAATAACATTCTGTGGTCAGACAAAAACTCAGTTGACCTTATGGGATGCAGACTGTATGCAAACATATCACTTAAAAACCAGAAAACTGACTGAAATGGGTTGAACAGATTTGACTGACTATCTTCATGGTGCTGTTTGTGTTAGGCTCAGAAGAGGGACCTTTCCCGTACCACTCAGAGGAATGTAGAGACTGGAGCCTTGTCTCTCCGGCCCCCTCCCATCTGAGGCTCCCCCCTGGGCTGGCCATGCCTGTGGGAGTCCATCGCAGCACCCAGACAGAGGGCCCCCCCGCCCCTGCCCCCCCTCCAGAGCCCAGTCAGCTGCAGCCAGTACACCCCTCTCTCCTGGCCCCTGTACCCTCCTCTCTCTTGGCCCCCGTACCCCTCTCCCTCACCCCATGCCCCAGCCCGGTGCCCCAACGCAAACAACGGGCCTACGTCAAGTGGGAGAACAGAGCCTCTACAGTGCTAAAGCCCAGGGAGCCGGACGAAGACAACAAACCCACCTATGATACTTTGGAAATGGTGAGATTCAGACACCACTGGGTTACTGATACGTGTTCAATTGTGTACATTGAATGTACTACATTCTCATTTCTAGAGTTTTGAACACAAGGTTGACCATTCAAACAAATAAACAATGATAGTGAATTATGTTGTTCTCAGGAGAACCAGAAGCTTCAGAAGAACAACGAGACGCTGCGTAAGAAGCTGAGGGAGACGCAGCACGAGGTAGAGATCCTGCAGACACTCCTAAAGAGGCACGCCCTTCACTCCGTGGTGGAGGATTCCTCCTCCTCCTCCTCCTCCTCCTCCTAGCAGGAACACCCCTCAGCAGGTCAGACACACCCACTCTATGACATCACAGGTGATGCCCAGGCCTCTGTCTCCAGAGCCACTGACAGTACTGTATGTCTTGGAGGACCCTAGTGCCACACAGTCGAGAATATACACAGAGGGACCTAAAACTCCCTGTGAGGAGACGCTGTTACTCACATTGTGGCATGCCATGATTACCTCACAGTACGGCACATACAGCCACTGTTAACACCAGTTGCAGCCAATCACAGCCAAAACAGGGCTATGAGGCATAGCCAATGAAAGTACCGTCCTGAATAGGACACAGACAATCAAAGTACAGTACCAGCCATTATGGAACATAGCCAAAACATATCCAATCAGTGTGCCATCGGCTTTGGGACTCTGACAATCAGAATACCACACAGTATGGCAGAAAGGCCAGGACACTGCAGAAGTTCATTCAGGTGTACTGTGTAGTTATTGTCCTGTCTTAGGTAATATCAAGGTTGCATATTGTATGCAACATGTAAATCCATGTGATTTCAATGTTACTGTCCATATTTATTGTTAAAACACTACAAAACTCGTGAGTTAATGTCAATCATTGAGGAAAAGATAAGCAGAGTTCAGATTTTTTATACAGGTAGATGTAGACAAATAATTGTTCTTATTTAGGTGCAAGACATTTTAGCGAAAGAATACATTCAACCACAGTTTTATCATGTATATTTCATCAGCTCAGTGTTGTCCATAGTAGCAATTAACATAATATTAGCTGTTTCACCAATGACATACCATGTAAATACCCTAAGCATATGATATATTGTGGTGCCATCATACTAGTATTTTCTCTCAAGATGTCCTCTCTCAGTATTGCTGTCATAATGAATGTTATAATAAAGACATATTCTCTATTAGTTGTATTGGGTGAGTTTTCTAACTCAGTGGGTACTAATTTGTCTTTGTTTGTATGGAACCTTCACAGTATGGAACTGACAGTAGCTGTGAGATGTGGTCCACTAGGGGTCACTGAAACCCTCTAGAATGTTGGCATAGCCTACCACCAAGATATAACTGTTTTATATTTATGCCTACCACTCTGCCTGCTTTCATAATGGCTTGATGGTTTTGTTTTTGTTTTGTTTTGTTCAACTTTGCTAAAATAATTGAAAACACAACTCACAGTGACTTTACTATTTGCTGGGTAAATGTATTCCATTTTCTCTATTCAACCTCATCACAATAGCTGTGAACCAGTGGAAACAGTGCCATTACCTCTCAGTTGGAGATTAATGGGAAGTCTAATAGGAAAATAAGAAAGTCCTTCCATAATGTCAGGGAACATGAGCAGGGTAGTTGATAGTAGCAATCAGCCTGGACATGGGGTTCTGCTCTTAAAGGGATAGACATCCTCGCCATCAGAGGTTTGGAACAAGAAGGCTCCGCCTCCACAGTAAACAGGTGAGATTGTGACCACCTATATGGCATTAATCTCTTATTTTAACCAGACTTAACAGACTGAAAAGGCCAGTTAGAAACAAGGTATTGATGGAAACTGATATTCTATTTAGACCTACAGTCGTGGTCAAAAGTTTTGAGAATGACACAAGTATTGGTCTTCACAAAGTTCGCTGCTTCAGTGTTATGAGATATTTTTGTCAGATATTACTATGGTATACTGAAATATAATTACAAGCATTCCATAATTGTCAAAGGCTTTTATTGACAATTACATTAAGATTATGCAAAGAGTCAATATTTGCAGTGTTGACCCTTCTTTTTCAAGACCTCTGCAATCCACCCTGGCATGCTGTCAATTAACTTCTGGGCCACATCCTGACTGATGGCAGCCCATTCTTGCATAATCAATGCTTGGAGTTTGTCAGAATTTGTGGGTTTTTGTTTGTCCACCCGCCTCTTGAGGATCGACCACATGTTCCCACTGGCTATAGGGTGAATGCACCAACTTGTAAGTCGCTCTGGATAAGAGCGTCTGCTAAATGACGTAAATGTAAATGTAATTAAGGTCTGGGGAGTTTCCTGGCCATAGACACAAAATGTCAATGTTTTGTTCCCCGAGCCACTTAGTTATCACTTTTGCCTTATGGCAAGGTGCTCCATCATGCTGGAAAAGGCATTGGTCATCACCAAACTGTTCTTGGATGGTTGGGAGAAGTTGCTCTCGGAGGATGTGTTGGTACCATTCTTTATTTATGGCTGTGTTCTTAGGCAAAATTGTGAGTGACCCCACTCCCTTGGCTGAGAAGCAACCCCACACATGAATGGTCTCAGGATGCTTTACTGTTGGCATGACACAGGACTGATGGTAGCGCTCACCTTGTCTTCTTCTGACAAGATGTTTTCCGGATGCCCCAAACAATCGGAAAGGGGATTCATCAGAGAAAATGACTTTACCCCAGTCCTCAGCAGTCCAATCCCTGTACCTTTTGCAGAATATCAGTCTGTCCCTGATGTTTTTCCTAGAGAGAAGTGGCTTCTTTGCTGCCCTTCTTGATACCAGGCCATCCTCCAAAAGTCTTCGCCTCACTGTGCGTGCAGATGCACTCACACCTGCTTGCTGCCATTCCTGAGCAAGCTCTGCACTGGTGGTGCCCCGATCCCGCAGCTGAATCAACTTTAGGAGACGGTCCTGGCGCTTGCTGGACTTTCTTGGGCACCCTGACGGCTTCTTCACAACAATTGAACCTCTCTCCTTGAAGTTCTTGATGATCCAATAAATGGTTGATTTAGGTGCAATCTTACTAGCAGCAATATCCTTGGCTGTGAAGCCCTTTTTGTGCAAAGCAATGATGACAGCACGTGTTTCCTTGCAGGTAACCATGTTTAACAAAGGAAGAACAATGATTTCAAGCACCACCCTCCTTTAATGCTTCCAGTCTGTTATTCTAACTCAATCAGCATGACAGAGTGATCTCCAGCCTTGTCCTCGTCAACACTCTCACCTGTGTTAACGAGAGAATCACTGACATGATTCTGACACAGTCCCCTGTAGCTCAGTTGGTAGAGCATGGCGCTTGCAACGCCAGGGTTGTGGGTTCGTTTCCCACAGGGGACCAGTATTAAAATGTATAAACTCACTAACTGTAAGTCGCTCTGGATAAGAGCGTCTGCTAAATGACAGAAATGTAAATGATGGCAGCTGGTCCTTTTGTGGCAGAGCTGAAATGCAGTGGAAATGTTTTTTGGGGATTAAGTTCATTTTCATGGCAAAGAGGGACTTTGCAATTAATTGCAATTCATCGATCACTCTTCATGACATAATGGAGTATATGCAAATTGCCATCATCGAAACTGAGGCAGCAGACTTTGTGAAAATTAGTATTTGTGTCATTCTCAAAACTTTTCTAAAACCTCCAACATCAAGCTTAAACATGAAACACACCACAAACACAAACACTGATGGTGGTAGCTCAATAAATGAAAGAAATGACATTTGCAAGAGAACAATAGAGCAGTGTAAATGTGCTGTCTATCTTTTGTGTCCCTTGTAGGTCAACACCCTGCTGCTCATAATAAGTGCTGTATTCCCATTAACATTGACCTGAGATCTCTGTAGGTAATTAGAGGTGCAGTCTTCTGTGGTGAAGAGCAGTGACACATATCATATCTCAGACCAATTCATCTGGCTTCACCTTTACTGAGGACAGACAATACTACAGTACAACACATACTATTATGTCTCTTAAAAATAAGAAAATATCTCCCATCAAATAGGATATATTAATTTCTCTGAAATGTCTTTGGAGTTCATATAAAAGGGTATTTATCCCCCAGTCTCAGTGTCACTGTGCCCCAGTGGAAGCCTAAGCTAGCTGTGGCGTGAGTTTACAGTACGTTCTTACCTCCGTTGCACAAACACATGCAGAGGAGTTCCAATCATGACTACAGCTGCTCTGAGCGGAGCGAGCAGTCTGAGATGGTGCAGCCTGCAGCCTTAGCGTTGCTGACAGTTCATTTACATATATTTGAATGTGACACCCAGCTCAGGGAAAGTCACAGTCAGTCTCCCACCCAGGATCATTTCCAATAACATGGCTGAGTAAAGAAAAAGAGGGACAGTTAACAGACAGACATTCATTAAACTCAGAGGATCGCGTGTCTGGAAATGGGATGTTTTTAATGTGATTAAGTCACTGATGACAAAAAAACAAAACATGTAACCTACACACTTAGAAAAAAGGGTTCCAAAAGGGTTATGCGGCTGTCCCCATAGGATAACCCTTTTTGGTTCCAGGTAGAACCCTTTTGGGTTCCAGGTAGAACTCTTTTGGGTTCCTTTAAAGGGTTCTCCTATGGGGACAGCCGAATAACACTTTTTGGTTTTAGATAGTATCTTTTTTTTTAAGAGTGTAAAGGCATCTATAATTACATTGAAATGTTGAAGACAAAGACAGCCATAACAACAGAATCTACTAAAACAAAGGAAAATGGGTAGTTCATTATTCTGGTGTCATCCACCTAATTCAGACTGAAAATGAACTATAAAACATATTCATACACATTAAGATCCTTCCATCCATGAGATGGTATAGTCAAAAAGCAAAGAAGCATGAGAGTAGAACTACGGTGGAGGTAGGCTTTATTATATGTTGAGGCATGGCAGGCAGGCAGGCGAGGAGACACCGATGATTTATGGCACTGGTATCAGTGGACTATAGGGAATTGATCCATGGGAGATGGATCTAATGAACAGGAGCTCAAACTAATTAGACGTGGGAATATCCCATTATAGTCCCTATAGAAGAGTGGGAAACTGAGAACCCAATCAAAGCATCAGAATTAACACACAGGACCCAATCAACGTTCATTTTAAACAAAGATGGAAGCCGCAATGTCCTTAGGATATACAGTATCTTACACCCCCTCCTCACTCAAACTGCTCTGATTTAGGGAAGTACATTCCTACATTTTTGAGTTCATTAAGTTCTAATGATGGCCAAAGGAGCCCTGTGTAGGAGCAGAGGTTGAATGCATGTGGAAATTCATTTT